CAGACCTTCCGATAAGAAGTACACAGAACTTTTGACGAAAACTTCGCAGAACTTCCTTAAAATTCCCTGAAGTTCCGACGATAAGTTCAGAGTACTGCCGATGAGAAGTTCAAAGAACTACCGAAACGAGGTTCTGAGAATTTCCGAAGTTCACAGATCTTCCGACGAGAAGTCCAGTGAAATCTAGAGAACTTCCGATGAGAAGTTCGGAGAACTTCTAACGAGGAATGCAGAGAATTTCAGAATACTTCTGACAAGATGTTCCTTGTACGTTCGACGAGATGTTCAGAGAGCTTGCGAGGAGCAATTCACAAAACTCCCAAGGAGAAGACAGAACTTCCGACAAGAAGTCTAGGAGAATTTCAGAGGTTCAGAGTGCTTCCTAGGAGAAGATCAGAGAACTTCCGATTAGAAGTTCAAATGTCCATCATGTTCATCCTCAATATGTAAAAACTGGTTATCTAAAACTAGGCAAAAACAGGTAGGAATGTGATAGCGTGATACCCGCTATGTTGAAAGACGAGAAATCACTGGGATGTTGGATAAAAGGGTTGGGTTTGCAGCTGGATTCGTTTTGGTAAACGATATGCTGAATTAATATCCTAAGGATCCTATAACGCAAAGGAGCTTGGGATTGAAGTCATGGTCTTCTGCTCAGTAAGCAAAAATGCTTGCCACTAGGCAGCTCCTTTTATTACGACACACCAATGATCGATTTGTTGTTATTCCAATGTATTCAAATTAACATTGGCGTCCCGTAAACTCAGTTTTTACCTGTGCACCAACTTTCAAAACCAGATTTAATACCATGTTCATATTCGAATCGGTTGAAAAAATACACTTAATCTTCTAGTTTACTCGATATCCATCCATGGCAAGCAATATTTTGATAATTGTCTATGTTTTGAGAGTTGGTGCACAGGTAGATTGAGGTTAAGGCTGAAATTAACAAATAAAGCAATTAACGAATCTTGAATGATGAGATTTAACTCATGATGTTCTACTCAGTAAGCAAAAATGGTCGCTCTAATGCCACCAAGCCTCTCATATCACATCATACAAGCTACGATCGCGTTGTTATTGCAACCATTCAAAACCGGGACGTTGGTGACGTTAGTGACGCTAATCAAGTGATGTAACTATAAATATCCTTAATATGATAGGACCTGGGATTTATCCGAGGAGATATTCAGCGAATATCCGAGGAGAAGTTCTAAGTGTTCGTGTGAACTTCACAAAATTTTCGACGAGAAGTTCAGATAACTTTCAAGGAGAAATGCAAAGAATTTCCGGCGAGAAATTCTGTGAACTACTGACGTAAAATTCCGAGAACTTCCTACTAGAAAGTCACAGTACTTCCGACGAGAAGTTCATCGAGATCAGCATAAACAGAAGTATAGTTTATCCCGAAAAGGCAACAAATTACTTGACAAACATGGAACATGAAATAGGCTAATATGATGTTGCGGAAAAGTCATATTCCTGCCGCGTATAACTTTTCCGAATTTATTTGCCACAGATCAGATTGTCCAGGAAGATGATGAAGATGATGAAAAAAGGCAACCCGTGGAAGAACGTTTCGATTGAGACCTGCTCTAACAGGTGGTCGTTCAGATTTGGAATTTTGATAATTTACCTGCAGAGTTCTGTTACTTGAATAATTTTGAACTTTTTCAATTTAGCAATCAAACCGTCATGCCAAACACTGTCGAATGCTTTTCCTATGTCTAGAAGAGCAACTCCAGTTGGACAGCCGTCTGATATGTTTGAGCGAATTAAATTGGTAAATCTGAAGAGTTGATGAGTAGTTGAATGCTCATAGCGTAACTCCAAACTAAAAAGTTCGTATTGATGTGAAGCATCATTCTATTCAAAATATTCAGATAATCCCGAGCAACCTGATTCTAAGAAGATTTTTTTCAATTCTTTATTATAGAGATTTACAATCAATAGGACTAGTAAGAGCCAAACTGAAATTATTGGAACTCTCGAAATGCTTAGCAAGTTTCTGAGCTTTTTCCGAATTTGTGATCACAATTTTACCACCTTCTTTAAGCGCTGGAATAGGCTTTTAAGGTTTTTTCAAAAAATTTGTGAGCTTCCAAAAGAGTTTGAAACTTGAGTCTAATCTCGAAACATTATTTTCAAAAGCTTTCCTCTGGGCAGAGAATTGCTTTTTCAGGTGTTTCAGGTGTTCTTTAATATTGCCTCCTACGGACATTTTTTCAGGCGGATCAAGAGCTGAAGATCGTCGTCTATTATAATTGAATCGAATTTAATCTCGCATTTTGGCACTGCTTCAACTATAGAAGTAGTCAGAGACTCAAGAGCATAAACCACATCAGCTTGGGTTCGCAAAAGAATATTTGGATCAAAGTTATATTCCATGAATCTAGATAGAGCTGGAATTAGGGCGTAACAGCTTTTGTAAACAATGACTTCTTTCGATGATTTCTAGAAAGCTAAGGCTTGCCAACGCAAAGCATACCTTGTTTACAAAAGCTGTTACGCTCTTATTCCAGGTCTATCTAGATAATGTTCGATATTGCTCCCAATCAGCTCTATGGTAATTGAAAGTAGCTCGTTGGGATTGGAAATTATTTCTTGAGATATTTCAAAAGTTACTGGAAGGTGCTCAAAATCGAAGTCAGCATGGGTAACCAATTGGCTACAAAGTTGACATGAATCAGTTAAGACCAAATCAATAGTTGAGGGATTTATTGCTGAAGAAAAGCATGTTGGGCTGTTTGGATATTGAATAGTGGAATAACCTGCAGAGCAATCATCAAACATAATATTACCATTGGAATTGCTTCGAGCATCATTCCACGAGCGGTGTTTTGCATTAAAATCACAAATAATGAAGAATTTAGACCTATGACGGGTAAGTTTCTGAAGGTCACCCTTGAGAAAATTCTTTTGCTGGCCTACGCTTTGGAATGGCAAATTGGCAGCTATAAACGTAAGTTGTCCATATTTTGTTTCAAAAACTTTGGCTTCAAATGAAGAAAAAATTTGATGTTTGATACGTCTATGAAGACCGGCTTTATCCAGACGATCATAAATGAAATAATTTGCGTCCCTTTTAACCTTATGTTTAGGTTTAAGGATCGTTTCAGTTATAACGGCGATATGCACGTTATAAACTCTCAAAAAGTTAAATAGCTCGCCTTCATTATCTTGAAGAGATCGAACATTCCAATTCAAAATATTCAATGATTTAAAATTCATTACTGAATTTCAAAGTCACCACTATATTATTAGTTAAATTTACTGCAGTTTGATTTGCATCAGTTTTCAGCATATCAGTATTAATGATTTTTGTACTAATTCCATTTTAGGATGAGTAACGCTACCAATGCCAAAATCATTTCCTGAACATACATTATTATTTGGCTTGTTAGTCGTATGTCAATTTGTCACGATAAAGACATTTTGGCTTCTCTGACCATTTATGAAGGCTGTTGATTTTACCCCACATTTGGCTGTGATCCTGGCATTTAAGTTTCCATGCACCGATAAGTGACTTAGATTTTATCTCTGCGCACAAATACTAATTGCAATTACGATATACTAATACGTATACAAGAGCTCACTCTTTAAAATAATCCCGTAAGCAAGTTTATTACCCTTCTTACAAAGAAGGGTATAGATATCACTTGAAAAACCGACTATCGATCCGAGGCCCGGAGGGCCGAGTGTCATATACCATTCGACTCAGCTCGACGAGATCGGAACATGTCTATGTGTGTGTGTGTACGTGTGTATGTGTGTGGGTATGTAACGAAATGTATGCGCTCACGTTTCTCAGCAACCGCTCAACCGATTTGGACAAACTCGGCGCCAAATGATAGGTCTTGGGGTCCCATTGAACGCTATTGAACGGTTTTGGAATCGGTGAACCGGTTCCGGAGATATGGCTGGAATAAGATCCGGTGAATATGGGCCTTCACGCTGGATTTAACGGAAAACGTATCAAAACCATCATGCGACACATCAAATTAATACAGAATTCAAAAATAAGATCAATGCAAGTCGATATAAGATATAAGTCGATATAAGAACATATTGGACACACTTGGACATGTTCCGGGTACCCCGGGGAAGTTGCTTGAATATGAATTGAATTAAAACCCATTAAATCACATTAAATTACGATGATAAGGTGATTGGTAGCCTCACCAAATAGACTACACCCGGATATATTCCGGGTACCCCCAGGCAGTGACGTAGCGTCACTGGATGACACGGGGATGGGGGGCTTGGTCACTGATAATGACAATAAAATAAATAAACTTGAATAAGTAAGAAGGGTCTGATCACACGTGGATAAATTCGGGTTTTGGCAACCTGGCATAACTGCACCGTTAATACACAGGTAAATTAAAGGTTAACATTATTAGTTTCGTAGTACAGGTAGAGTAAAGAAGAAATACTCAAAATATATTAAATTATTCACATAACCTGTATCATTTTAAGTCTCATTTCAGGTCCATCTCCAAGTTTCTCCTGCAGTGCACATAACCTCTCACCATTACCGCTGGCGCTGTTTACGAGAAAAAAATATATCCTCTAACCTAACATGACTAACCAACTTGTACTCCTCCCACGCTAGACACCCTACATCGAGATCGAATTTCGCGACGCACCGAAGAAACGAATCAAGCGCAACCTATCGCTGGATTGTGACGAAAACGACAACGAAACCCGCTGCTGTCGCTATCCGCTGACGGTGGATTTTGAAAAGTTTGGTTGGGATTGGATCATCGCTCCGAAACGCTACGAAGCATCCTACTGTGCCGGCGAGTGTATGCTCAGTTTTCTGCCCAAATATGAACACACCCACGTGATGCAGCTGAGCACCTCGGCAATACCGTGCTGCTCGCCGAAGAAGATGAGCCCCATCAAGTTGCTGTACTTCGATTTGAGCTATCGCGTGATCTACAGTACCATTCCGAATATGATCGTCGAAAAGTGTAGTTGTTCCTAAACACCGGGAGTGTGCTTTTCTAGGGACCAAGTATAAGAAAGAACATACAAATTAAGAGCAACAATTTATGAGTCTGATTTGGGATCTTTTATCGGTGTACTGATCAATCGAACAAAAAACGAAAAACGAAATTTTAGATCAAAATTAGCTTATAGACACAATTGTGTAACTTCATTTCTGTAACAAGAACAACGGGTGATAAGCGAAATTTATTTTCAAACGTATGAAAATCAACAAGTGGCATTTAGGCTTACTCGACTTAAAAAATCATATCTCGATTGCGTGCTTCTAGGATTTCCTCATCATTATTGTTAGTTCTTTCGTCAGTTTTATTATTGTACCCATACGAAAATGGCGAGACTTGTGATATTCTTTCTATCTAAAAAAAAATGTTTAAAAATGACAAAATCTTAATTTTCGTGTTACAGTCTTTGGAATACTTGAGCAAAAGTAAATGCGCATTACAGTGTAATTAGAAAGACTATCATAATTTTTATTGTAAAATGACAACCAACTGATTAGGGAGCACAAAAATACAAATGTATCAATAGTGTTACGTGAAAAAAAAAACTATCTCGATAGACCCCAGTATCCCAGTAATGTACGATTCGCATTGTTAGCGCGACAATATGATGCAAACATTTGGAATCTGTGTGTTCAAAATTGTACATAATGAACAGGCTTAATGAAACATCACACTATTTTTATTATTATAAATTATCAAGCATAAAAGATAGTCACTAGGCATAGACATATCTAACAAAATAAAGCCTATCTAACTCACAGAAAAGGGAACTTTGTTTCACTTCAAGATACCGATTTTCCAATATAGTTTATTCGAAATATATTCTCCTATAAAATATCAACACATTGCTTTAACAAAACATAATTTGCCTACTTCCGCGAACCGCCTTCCGAGGCTAGTTTTGACTCGCACAGCCTCTTCACGTGCACTTGGTTCAAGGCCTCTGCTTGTCGTAAAACTTTCCTAATATCACCAATTCTTCCGTTTTTGTTTGCATACAGATAAGCCGTCTTAAGCTGTCCGGTAATTATGTAGCAATGAATCTTCAGCCCGACTTCGCTGATGCGCTTTATCATTCCTTCCAGTGCAGTTTTCACGAGCGAACTGCTACCGTGGATTGCAATGGCCGTCTCGACGGAGTGCTTTATCAGTTCATCGCAGAAACTGTTCGTATCCACTGTAGCAGCACTGTTGCTGACGATGGCCTGCAACAACTTGTCCACCTCTTCGACCTGAGACTCTCCAATAAAGTACTTCGCAGTAAGGCTGTACACCCGCATGCTATTCAAATTGAAATCCTGAATTACCCTAGAAGTATGATGATTTTATCAAATCCTGTTCACTGACTGCAGAAGTTAATCGAATTCACTTACCTATACGATAGTCCGAATCCTTCCTCGATGTTCTTTCCGCAAACAAGCACTAATACTGCGAGCTGCAATTTTTCATGAACCGTCCCGAAAAGGGTCGGCACTTTGTTGGACTCAATGAACAGCTAGAAAAAAAAACAAGAAACAATTCGTCCTGATACCTTCACCATTAACCATAACATATTTCTAACCTTCGGCAATAATCCTACGACATCCTTCCCTTTGGCCTCGCAGTTTGCCAAGAACTTGGTAATCTCCAGCTGTCGCAGTATCGTATTGATGTGGTTGTTCAATTCCTTTGGCTCCATCTTCATCAGCAAACTCTTGTGGGTCTCGCTCCGATCGCTGAGACTCTCCACGCTAATCTCCTCCCAGTTGCACGATTCCAGTTCTGTCTGCAGATGCGCAGCACTATTCTTCAGGTGAAATGTATTAGCTTCCAAATCGGTAAAGTTCTTCGCATCCATAGAGTAGAATCGTACGCAGGTCATACTCGCCCGTATCGGATCGCCCAGCAGCAGTTGCAGATTGTACAAGCAGTTCAACATGCGGTTCGTTTCCAGATAACGGCAGGTATAGATGATGTAAGCCTTCCACGTGAGCAGTGTCTCATCCATACTGCTCATAACTTGGATCACGGTTTCCAATCTTCCGCTCTTCAAATATGGTAGCACGATCGTTTGGAGGAACACTTCTGGATCGACCTGCTGCATTAGTGCATACTTCATGGCCGGTAAAATTTGACGATGGTTGATCAGAAAGTTTGCGATTTCCAAATGAGCACCGTACGTTAACAGATAGAACATGGATTCTTCAAAGAATCGAGTGCTCATGATACAGTCCAAGGCCTGGAGATAATCGGCAGAGTTCGCACTAGTGGACACTGCAGCATCGCGATTCCGTAGCGCTCGTTTTTCTGGCAGAAAGTCCGTGAAATTTCCTTTGGTGATGTGCTTTAGATTGGAGAGCGTGTTCAGAACATTCAGCGCCGGCTCGTGAAGTGGAATGTTCTCTTTGGTTCTCTTGCGATTGCTAGATGACAAGGAGGTGTTGGAGTTCTTAATCATACTAGCTCTGGCTACTACTTCCGGTGGTTGTGCCTGAGCGGTCGACTCCAAAATGCTGATAATTTCCATCAATAGTGGTGGACTTTTCGCTGGTCGTTTGATAGGGATGGCGGTTTTATAGTTCGCCAGCTTGGTTTCCGGAGATTCAATGCAGTTCAGAATTGTACTGTTGTCGGCATCGGTAGAGAGCTTCTGCAAGCAATAGGAGAACTTTTCCCGAGCTGTTTCGTAACACCCTGCTCGCAAGCAAGTTGTACCCCAAGCGGCCATCACTCCACTCGTAGAGAATCCACATTTGAGCGAGAGCTCCAACGCTAGTGTCCATTTCTCGGCCATCACGAGAGCATCCCTAAGTTTCCGAAGGTTCGTACTGCTCATGGATTCCTGTAGCAGTAGCGACTCGCAATCGTTTTTCACAATCGATAGAATGATCTCGGCATGTTCTTTCATCTTGTCCGCTTCCGTAAACTGCAATCCACGCACTTTGGCCGCCAGTGTCAGGTTCAGCAGCATCCGAGCCACTAAAGCGTAATCGATTTCTGGATTGGGGTACCCGGGATGGATAGGACGCAGCAGAGACTCCAGCTTAGCGCAATGGTACAACAGAAAACTAGACAATTCCTCATTCTGACTGTGAAGATTACAGATCGCAAGACATTGACTGGTAGATGGAGCATATTCGTAGCTGTATTCCTCTCGTATAATGTTATCGTTGCGCACATTGCCTGTCAACTGCCATTCATCGCAATCATTGTGATTAACCAGCGCGCTAGGACTCTGCACTGGAACGGTCAATATAGCTTGAGATTGCTTCACACAATCATCACAAGCTCGGACCGGAACGTCTTCGTATAGTTCTGGAATCTCCAGTTTTTTCTTGGAACACGAATGGCAAACAACTCTCCCACAGCGACGGCAATGGTGGCGTCGATTAAGCATCGAAAACACGCTCCTTCTGCAGGACATGCAATGAGTTGCATCCTCGTCTCGAATCCAAGCATCCTTATTTGGAACCGACTTAGGCATGGTGAACGCACCACACAACGAATCAAGGCTGGAAAACTCTAGACTATGATTATGCATCGATCCTTCCGAAGTCCCAGAATCATTGGATACTCTGTAGTCCAGAGCCTTGCCGGCGTAGATTCTGAGCAAACAGTCGATGCACTCGTTGGTAATGAACTGATCGTCGTGACTTGAATCCAAGTTGATCGATCCATTGAGACGACCTCGAAGATCTCGAATGTATTCCCGCTGCTCATAGCAAGTCGCACAAACATCGCCCCTCAACAGAGGACGGATGGAATCCATAACGGTGGAAAGCAGTTCTAGTTTTGAGTTCATCAGGTACTGCTCGATGATCAACAGTGGTCGACAAATAAGATTCCAAAGGCGTTTAGAATCTTCATCCGGCAAGTGATCAAAAATTGCCAACGAAATCCGATATTTCTGGTACGTTTTCGTGTTGTCCCCATTGTCCTCCAGGTACTTCACTGCGTGTTTGATTACAGCCACGTTCTTGACACCCAGAAGAATCGTTTCGTAGAAACGAATCACATGCTCCTTGGACATCCCCTCGATGATAGCGAAAAGTGCAGAACAATCTTCGTTTTGACGGGAGGCGTTTATCACGCCAATAGTGAAGGTATCGATAAGCCTGGAGTCATCTTCCAAATTCAAAGGATGGATTTTAATCCAACGGGAACACAAGTCGTACATGTGCTTCTGGATCAATTGTTCTAAGATCAATTCTCTCGAGTTTACCGACTGTTCCCGAACCGAACGCCAATCTTCGTTTTGCATAGCAGCTCCTATCTCGCTATAGACTTGCTGCTTCAACGTCCATGCTTCTAATGATTGTTGGTGTTCGGGAGTCAGCTTGGAAATGTCTCGCGACGAGAGAATGCAACTGATTAACTCTACAATGGTTTGGGCATTCGAAATCCTGTTGGCGTATTTCATGAGATACTCGGCTTTCTGATTGATGTCTTTGGTATTTTGTAGTATTCTTTCCACGGACAGATCCTGGCTGCATTCGCTCGATTCCAGCAGGTTTAGTATAATTTCATGTCTCAACGTGTGGAATTTACTCATATCTTGGTTGCCTTTCTGGCTGAGAATGTGGTCCAGCATTCGAAGACGCTGAATCGCTTCACAATCTGAATCCTCCAGAAGAGATTCCAATTTGTAATGGTTGAGATTCAAGGCAGCTGACATTCTACAACCGTATAAAGACTCGAAAAGCTCAATACAGGGAAGGTTCTTCAGATTTTTCAGCAGATTGTTGCCTCCGTCTAAGCCCGATATTTCCTTCACGATAATTCCCAACAGATCGTTCTTTTGGGATACATAATCTACCACGTCGGGTAGAGCTGCCCTGCCATATTCTGAATGTTGCTTTACTTCACTCGAAAGCTTCTGCGCAATGATATGAGTCAAATTCGAGTTTATTCCAGCAACTAACGACTCCAAAACATTCAAACGAACGTTTTTCTCAAACACCAGCCGTCCAACAATCTCCTGAAGATCTTTTTTCATAATCTCCTCCGATGTGAGCGATTTTTCACTATCGTCACACATAGTTATCAACTTTTCTGCTTCACCGACAAACTTCAGGATCTTTTTACAGACACTCCAGCAATTTTTTCGGGAATTTGTTCGTAGCTCTTCCAAGGAATCTAGCGAAACCAGACTGCGACGAGTCTCCAGCAATGGCGCCAATTGAGTAGATTCCAGAGGACACACTTCCTGGCCTAGCAATCGATGAAACGTGATCGGCAGCTTCCCGGTTGTTCCTCCAGCTCGGAACAGTTGCATATCATCGATCAATCGCTTCAAGAAACCGACATATGCGAAGCTTCTTCCATCGATACCATCCGCTTTATCCAAGCACTTCGATACGAGGTTGTATAGGGTAACACTAAGATCGTAGTTCATTGGTAATCCTAGCATAAGATCCATTGCGTGAACGTTTCGAAGATTTTCCCCTTGAAACAGTTTCAGAAACGGATACTGGCCACTGTGCTTCTCTAGCAGTTGCAAATCTTGATCGTTCTGTTGGATTTTTTGCTCACTGGAGAAAGTCTCCACGGTGCTGATGATCTTGGAAGCTTCGAACCCGATCGCCGTTCTGTAACGAATATCTTCCAACATAGATCCGCTGCCTTGCCGCTTCTGCATGTCGTCATATCTTGTGATCAGGGTACCAAGTTTCTCCTGGATCTGGGTAAAATTTTCCAGAAAGTGCAGATCATGACCGATGGTAGTTGCAGAAAGGTTATTGTTTTTAATTATCGCCTTGGCCTCGTCAAACTTCTTGTTGACAAGACAGAGTGTGGCTAGTTTTTCCGGCGTGCCAAGCATTTTGGAGAACAAACTTCTGGGTCGTGATACCATGTCAGTGATGGATGAATCCAACGATGAACCCATTTTATTAGAAGGTGGGAGAGAATGACGCATGGATTTGACTCCTGTAGAACCACTGGACGAAATTTGAGGAGGTTTCTGACCATGCTTGGAATGTTTCCGCTTAGGAAAGGTGGAATATTTTTTAGCTCGATCCTGAAGAGCTTCGGCACTGTGGAACATATGATCCTCATCGTCCTGAACCAAATCTGGCAACTTGGTAATGATATTGCTGGAATCGATATCCGTCAACTGGAGAGGCGATTCACTGATGCTTGAAATGTTTGAGAACAACGATATCCTCCAGAGAGCATCGTTGATGATATCTATACAATTGGTCAAACGCAATTTCAGTTCATCGTCTGCATTGTCATAATTTGCGGCGTGCTTCTTTTGAGTTGCCACCAACTTCAGATTACTCAAAATCACTTCCAAAACGACGTTTGAGCACATAAAACCAACCTGACCGTGAGATCTTTGCGGTAGATGTTCATAACGAACAAACAGCAGAGTAATGACGCCTTCCAGGAGATCGACAAAGGTTTCAGTGCTATCAATGGATTGCAGAACTGCTTTGACGCTATTGGCTCTGCTTTCGAGAACGTCTTCGAAAATTTTCAAATGTGGTGACAGCTTCATGACGTCCATTACGTAGTACCACAGCATCATCATTTGCAGCAACCGCGCATCTCCCGACGATTGCAGCACATATAGGTTATCTAGCGGTAAGTAATCCTTCAAAATAGCCTCATTAAAGCTATCATTCTCGATAATAACTTCCAGCAACTGCTCGTAGCTAGAAGGTGAAATTTTCCAAGCTTTCTTCATGTACAGCGCAATTACAGACGATTCTTTGGCGTATTCTTCTACTGACAAAGGGTCTTCTTGGCCTTCGAACAAACCTTGAAGTAGCTCCGTCCGCTTGATCTCTTTTAAATACATTTGCAGAAAGTTTCCATCGGGACATTCCAGTTTAGATGGAATACCGGAAATTAAGTTTCCCTTATTTACTTCAGTGATCAACCGAAAAAAATGGATGTAGTCTTGAACGGCTACATCATTGAAAACAATTTCACTAGCAGTCAAAATGTTGCTCAAAAAGTGTTGCTTATTATCGACCGCTTCCTGCAAATACTGCAGCTCTCGCGACATATGAATCTTCTTAAGAAAATGTTTCAGCATCTTCTGGGATTTTCTTGAAACCAGAGCCAACAGCAGCATCTCTCTGTCAATCTGCCCCTCGTCCAACAACCGCAGTACGACGGGAACAATTTGATTGATCGCACCACTGGACAGCAAATTATTCGACATTAAATTATAAAACTTTTCGACATCCGTCTGCTCGAAACTGTCCACAAAATCCATCATTCCTTCATCGCAAATCTCGCGAATGGTGTTATTTTTCAGAGGAATTTTGCTAGTCGCCAGCAGTCGCAACAGCTGACAGCTCGGATACGGGTTGACCAGAAGATTCTGCAGCAGAAAACTACACCCTTCCTCCGACAGCGGTGACCCATCTTCATTTTCGTGCAGAGTTTTGTAGTACGCAATAAGCTCCTGGAGTAGGACAAAAACAATTTGCTGATAATCAGTGAATCACTTCGTAAAAAATTACAACAATAGAGCAACGCACTGACCTTCCCAATATGAATACTTCTGTCGGAAAGCAGCTCCCAATACTCGTTGAATTTATCCATCTTTACAGTAGGATGTGCACACGCACTTACTGCACTAAGTAACACATTTAATTCGAGTTTCGTTCTGCACTGTAATGAAACTTTACACTGGAGAATGTGACATGGATGACTGGAGCTCCGAGAACAAACTAGGACGACACTTGATACCGCTCTGTGACTGATAAGAACGGCTGCCTATGTAGACACTGACTGAACGGAAGCTACCTCTGTGGATTGAGGATTATTCTGTTCTGTGCTCTGATTGTCTTGGGTTTGTTTATGTTTTCCTTTCCAGATGATGGACTTTTTTTTCCTTTCGAGGTTTCACTAATACACGCGCAGAGGTAGTGCATTTTGACAGGGTGAAGTTAGGTATAATAATGATGTGATATTGTTATTGTTTTTATATTTCTATAGCTGAAACATAAGGGAGCTTTCATAGTTTGAAATGCATTAATTTGTCGTTCGAATTGCAGATGAATGGAAGATTCATCTACACAATAAAACATTGAATAAGTGTTGGCCGTTAAAATGTTTACAAGAAGGTTTAGTTCAGAAATAAAACCAGCAATAACCGGGACTTACCGTGAAGCATTGAACTCCACAAATCCCGACACTTTTAAAAGTCAAAGCCTCAAAATAGCATGTAAATGATACCATGGTATTTTATGACAACAAGCTCGGGCTGCTTTAACGTCGGTGTTAATTGATACGATCCTAAACAGACGTTCCAATTTGTTCCAATTTCAAAATAAATCGCATTCAATTTTAATCAAGGTGCCCAGCTACTACAGTAACTTACCAGCCTTAATTGTTATGATATATATCTAAGTGTTTTAAAATTGTTCCTGCCTTGTCAATTCAGTATATTAAACAGGTTTTCTAAACTTGCATGTCAATATAACAATTGACATCTTAAAACTAAAGACTAAAACTAAATCTTATCTAAGTACGAAAGGAATTAATCGTTGAATAGAATAGAAAGAATATAATCTTCTGTAACACTCAACATTTTTCATAACTCTGGGACCTAGACAACTTTTCTAGATGGCAGTCTAAGAAAAAATCTCATTATTATGGAACGAGCAAACTTTTCCCAGATGGAAAGATCACAGACGTTAAACAAACATTGAATGTGTCTAGGACTTAAAATATCGATCATGAAAAATTAGGGATTTAGGGATACATTTCAGAGTTTTGGGGACCATGTTGGACCTTAAAATTCGAGATCTCTAAGACAAACAAATTGAGAAAATTGTGCAGCCTGAAATAATGTTCTATATTTTGAACATATATAATGTAAGTTCACAGTCCTTGTACAATTTAAATGCTTCTGAAACATAGAAAACATTTTATGATCATGGACTTATTAATTTTTCTTAGACCTGGACCTGGATTTTTGTTTTGTTTGTACGGAAAAAAATACAATACAATTTAATGGACTTAACAAGGTACTAACTCAAGATTCTGTGACATGATTTTCTTTTTCTCGATGTTTGGACAAATACTAAAGCTACCGGGTGTCAAAGATTATTCAAATGTCTAGAGCTTAACGATTTTTCTAGACCATTTTTTGACATTTTAGGCTTGGAAAGCTTTCAAGTAAAATAGCCAGAATATTGGGTCTAGAACTTTTTTCGAAACCTCCGAACATTTGTGATAGGTCTTTCACTAGAAAGTTATCTGCTAGCAGCTCTGAAATCATGAAATTACTAAAAGGAACAATACGTAGAAATTTTCTCACCGCGAAAAGCAATGTTTGAAGAGAAATCTACGATTTTTTTAATCTATATACCGCAACACTGGTTTATCCACCATTGGCGGGGCAATATCTGTTGGATTTGGAATACCTACACCAGTGCTACACCGCAAAAACGAAACGACATAATACTCAATTGCGAGGTTAAACAAAATCTTTTCTGAACAATTCACTGAATGGATTTACGTCACATTCTGCGTTGCAAACGGCGTAAATATTTACGTTTTTTTTTTTTACAAAACTCATGTAATCATCTTGAGCAAACTGACGTTTGTCAGAAAACAAGCAGACCCAATCTTGATACCCGATCCAGGTTGGAACTGAATAATAAAAGAATTCGCTAAAAGATCAAAACGTCATGATTATCTGAGATTTGTCAATAATATACATATTTACACGTCGTGCAGTGAAGAATTTCTATATCACGGCAGACAAACATTTAATGTGTAACTACATAAATTGATACAATCGGGTGTCTTTGTTTTTAGATAAATTTTATCAATCTTTTAAAAACATACCTTCTTGTGGAAAATTCTTGATAGAGCTGGAATTAGGGCGTAACAGCTTCTGTAAACAATGACTTCTCTCAATGATTTCTCGAAACTCAAGGCACGCCCACGCAAACCAGCATAACCAACGGGAAGGAGAAGTCTTCCCCTACCCGATGGGGACATTGATTTGAGTGGGCCAGCCTTGGAAATCATCGAGATCATTGTTTACAAAAGTTGTTACGCCATAATTCTAACTCTATCTATCTATCTATTATTGATGCTCTTTTCTGATTTATTGCACTGCACTACACACTTTTTATTTTTACGAACCACCCTAATGATTACTCAATACGCACGCACTCAGCAGCACCCACGAAGCAAACCGAATACCGTTACTCGGTAACCGACCCAACCACTTGCATTAAATTTAACCGTTATGTGAGGCTGCATACGATTTTTCTCCTGAAATGCGGCTTTTCTACCCATTATGCTTGTCTGGTATTACATTTTCAGGAATCACTTTGCAACAAGATGAAAATTAATGCAATATCAGGCATAACATTTGATAACGGCACAAAAGCATTCGTAAACAAACTTTCTAAGGCCCTTTACACGCGAACCAAAGTACGCCCACGCAAACCAACAACATCATTGGATAGGGGCAACAGTTGCTATGTATGTATGTATGTACGTTATGCCTGATATGGAGCAAGCACCCTGCTTTACACTTTCTGATTGATTCAAATTAGAATGACTTTTACGAACCACCCTATTGATCACTCAATACTCAGTTAACAGCACTCACGAAGCTTTACGAAAAAATCGAATACCGTAACCCGATGACCACTCGTATTTACCGTTATTTTTAGCTGCTTGATTATCCACCGGAAATGCGACTTTTCTACGTCTCTGGTATTACATTTTCACCTTCTGACATCACTTCACACTTTCCAAGATTGATTCAAATGATATTGTCACTAACAATATGTTTTTGGTTCGCAGATTCGACGATTTCCAGCCGGTACCAATAAGATAAATCGGAACACGACATAAATACGATTACAAATCACAACTATTTAATATGTAATTTTATCTTTTTCACGCGTTAATTAATTTAATATTGATTTTATTATTAAACAAGCGCGTTCACGTCGTAATAATTTAAGCCGCGGACTGGAAGAAAAAATGGCTGCGATTCTACACGGCGAATGAGAACGACCCAAATTTGAGTTTAGTTCACTCATAATCGCCAAAAGTGCAGGAACTCAGCGATGAGTTAATTTTTTGGCGACGTGAGCGAGTCTTGGCTTTTTAGAAATCATCGAGAGAAGTCATTGTTTACAAAAGCTGTTTCGCCCTAATTCTAGCTCTATCCAGAATTTGAGAGATTTTTAGCCATAGGCTACATGAGTTAATTTGCCACATGTTTTCCAAGGTTTTTCCAGGGAAAAATTCCCGAATTTGAGAAAAGTAAAGATTAGATTCACTCATTCTATTGGTACTACTCCGAGACGGAATAAAATTTTCGTCAATTTCCTCATTTTCCGGCAGATTTTTTAGGTTTTCCACAGGAAACCATGAGACAAATTTTACTCATCGCTGAGTTCCTGCACTTTTGGTGATTATGAGTGAACTAAACTCAAATTTGGGTCGATCTCATTCGCCGTGTACAGAAAGGAGGTTCAACCGAACTGACAGCATTGGAGCTCAGTGAAATGAGTGCTACACTCAATTTCAAACCTTCCCAAATTTGATAAGGATAACACGATCATACCAACTCAGCGACTGAGATTAATTGACTCAGAGAATTTTCTTTCCATACGAAATTTACTCAGATTTGGAATAAACTGCAGTTACTCATACACACTTAAATTTTTTCGCCGAGATTCCAACAGCCGAGCAGTTCTGCAATTTATTTTGCTGAGGTTCAGTAACATAATTGCCGAGACTCAGCTAACAAATAACATTTTGCTGAGATATCAGCTAACAAACAGATATTTTGCAGAGATGTCAGCAAAATTAAATGCCGAGGTAATCGGCTGTTGGAGATTTTATCGAGCTAGATTAAGTGTGTAGCTTGTAAGTAACTGCAGTTTTTTTTCTCCTAATCTGAGTAAATTTCGTATGGAAAGATAAAATGAGGGGTTCGTGGATTTTCATATGTTTCGAGGGGTGCATCAATTAGCTTGGGACCGAAGAGAGTACTAGAACTGAGCCTGTTGAGCACGTTTCTTCGGGACCTTCTTGTCTTATACCTTGTACAGACATACAAAGTACACTGTTGTACCAACAATCAATACGAAACTAACGATTTTAAATTGGCTCACTACTTCACACAGAGAAATGATTTTTAAATTCAAATGGATATATTTTTGGCTCAGGGCCTAATATATTTTTGGTATTGATTCAAATATATTATTCGGTTAGTTCAAAGAAAAATATTTTTGAATCAATAAACCGGTTGTATAGTCAATAATCTGTTTGTTGATTCTAAAAACCATTTTGTTGATTCAAAAATATGTTTCGTTGAAATAGTGATAGAACATGTTTGAATCAATAACAAAATACATTAGGCCCTGAAACAAAAATCCATTTTACTGCGTGATTGACTAGCCTATTGGTCCCAAGCAAATCGTTTAACGTACCCCATTCTAGACGAAATTCAACTACTACACAATGTTTATTTTGATTCGCTATGAAAGTTTGACAGATAAAATGAGGGGTTAGTGGATTTTCCTATGTTTCGAGGGGTTAATCGATTAGCTAGGGACCGAAGAGAGTACCAGAGCTGAGCCAAAAAGTTGAGCACGTTATTTCGGGACCTTCTAGTCTTAGAGTTACCTCTATGGTACCACCACCTGTGGCACGCATAGTCAATTCCCTTGCGTTTGACGTTTACACACTACCGCCATCTGTTCAGTGTACTACCCACCACAGTGTACTCAACAGATGGCCGTAATGTTTTAGCGACGATGTTTTAAGGTGAGAAATATTCAATGTCTGTTTATCTGTCTGTTTGTCTGTGGTTAAAGCATAGAGGTAACTTTAAGACTAAGGTCTTGACCTGGACTTCCCCTACCCGACGGTAATGTTGGTTGCCGTGGGCGTGCATTGAATTCCTAAAAATCATCGAAAGAAGTAATTGTTTACAAAAGCTGTTACGCCTAATTCCAGCTCTATCTAAAGATGTTCAAATCTAACATACGATATACTTTAAGGCATTTGGGGGTACAATTTAAAAAATCACAGTCGGTCGTGCATGGCGGTCTGGTTTTGATCACTATTGAAAATTGAGCGAATGTCCTGGTGAATGTGCAACTGTTGCTATGATAATTAAAATTATCACAGATTGCCTGCGAAAAGCGATTTCCCTAATACAGATTTCAAATTTGGATTCCATCCGGTCTCACCAAACGGTGTTTATTCAAGCACCGCGTGGTGAGTGGTGGTGTTCTCCTGTACACAATGAAAGGCTGCCTGCAAGCAGTGAGCTGCAGCCGACGTAAGTATTCATAGAAGGTCGAAAAAGCCGCACCGCTATTGATCGAAATCAGTAGCTCTTCGTGAGTCGTTGTGGGCCATCTATGTCAAGTGCGTCATACTAAACAATACAAACAGAGAGAACCCCGCTCAAATTCCTATTCCTACATAAAACAGAAGTTCCTGCTGCAGTTAACAAATAAGATTTATTATATAAGCCCACGTAATCCTACGTCACCATTGCGTACAACCCCATAGGGATGTCCCTTGTAGTTTTATCATAGAGGTAACTCTAAGACCACTGGGTCCCGAAGAAAATCATTATTATTTTTGGCTCACTCAGTACCAGAACAACGGTCCCAAGCAGTCCCAAGCTATTTCACTCACCCCTGCATGTTCTGCATGAATCCACACACCCCTGATGTTATCTGTCAAACTTTCATAGCGAATCAAAACAAACATAGTGTAGTAATAGAATTTCAACTAGAATAGGGTACGTTAATCGTTTGCTTGGGACCAATAGGCTACTAAAGTGGTGAGCCAATTTAAAATCGTTAGTTTCGTATTGATTGTTGGTAGTACGCTGAACAGATGGCGGTAGTGTGAAAACGTCAAACTCAAGGGAAATGACTATGGGTGCTACCAACTACGATACTTTTAAATTGACCGTTAAATGCTTGTTCGATGAACAACTTGCGGGTGTTATGTCTGTTTGTCTGTGGAAAAACTTTCAAACCAAAAAAAAATCGTTTTTAATATTTCCGTAGTTAAAACTATCAATTTGGAATACCTTTAATTTGAAATGGTATTTTTTTTCTTCTTTATTTAAGAGGTTTTCAGCCTCTCGAAATGGTATAAATTTATAAATTTTTTAAAGATATATTTTTTGCTTTTTGTGTGTAAGCAAAAAAGCAAAACACATGGGGAGGGGGTAAAACCAACAATCAATACGAAACTAACGATTTTAAATTGGCTCACCACTTTAGTAGCCTATTGGTCCCAAGCAAACGATTAACGTACCCTATTCTAGTTGAAATTCTATTACTACACTATGTTTGTTTTGATTCGCTATGAAAGTTTGACAGATAACATCAGGGGTGTGTGGATTCATGCAGAACATGCAGGGGTGAGTGAAATAGCTTGGGACTGCTTGGGACCGTTGTTCTGGTACTGAGTGAGCCAAAAATAATAATGATTTTCTTCGGGACCCAGTGGTCTTAGAGTTACCTCTATGGTAAAACTTGTGGATTTCATATTTGAATCTCCCCTTATAACTGCTCTGTCCTGGCCAGTATTTATCATTAAAACTCATTAATGTAGTTTAATGGGATTTTTCAGATAATGCTTCTGATAATTCTTTCGAAATGACTGGAGCCAGTTTGCCTCACAGAAGTGTTTTTTTTTCCTTTGGTTTGTTTTTTTTTCCGTCGATCTTGTTTTCCGTGCTGAGCACCAATGCTACCGACGTGCCAGTGCCAGGAAGGCAGCTCCCACACCTGGACCCTACCTATCGACCCATCAACTCATGAACCGGGGACCAACGGCTTTACTTCCCATCCGAAGGAAGGCGTGATCAGAGATGTTATGCCTCAGAACATCTCGGCGGCGCCAACTGGGATTGAACCCAGGCCTGCTGGGGTGAGAGGTAATCACGCTTACCACTACACCACCGGCGCCGTTTCACAGAAGTGTTGAAATAGTCCTTTCCATACACGCGAGTATTTATGGGCCGAAAGTGAACAATAGCAAACGGAATTTTTGAATGAAATGAAAGTGAGGATATCAAAATTCGCACTTGAAAATGTGATAACCCTAGTGTGCGTGTTATAAACGTCAAAAAGGTCAACTGGACCGTATGAATAAAAGAGTTTACTTTACTTTCTCCCATAAGAAAAGCACCGAAGAGTTTGCTTTACTCTTTATTCATACGGTTCATCAATGTTGCCTCTCACAACCGTAGATTACTGTTATGGCTCCTGTCAAATTTTAATTATTGAATTAAAAAATCACTCGAAAAATCAGTTGATCACACTAGCGGACGATAACCGAAATGATTGAACTATTCTCCAAATGGTTTGGATGATACCCCGAACACGTCATTAAGCAAATTAACCATAGCATTTTTATTAAGGTATTTTGATTTTTATTTAGTTCTTTATTATTTTCCTCAGGTACCTCAGAATGTATATGGATTTCGATCGGTCAAAACGAGTTTTACAGTGGTTCACTAATAAGAAAAAAAAATATTATACCCGAACTACAATCCAAATGATTGAGCTATTCCACAAATTGTTTGGATGATACCCTGACCATGTCGTTAAGCAAAATAACCATGTACAAATATGATTAGGGTTTGTTAAGAATTTTACTCGGATTTTCACTAAAACAGTCTCCCACAATGCACCACACGGATAGAAATCTCCATATACTTTTTGGCAAATTTCTATTGCTGATTATTCATAAAATGTATAAGTCAACTAATAAGCAGACGCCTTGAATAAAGTTAATGAAGATCATGTGTCATGCAATGTATAAGCGGTCACATATACCTTTTATGCATTCTTATAGGATCTATTTGGTTTGTCTTATGGAATGTAAGGTCGATGTTTTGACAAAAATGTATAAGTGAAACCCATGGATAAAATAATTGATTTTCGTTTTGTGCATTATAGATTATCAATCTGGCAGCCACAGCCTGCTGGCAGCACTCCACGCGCCAGAGTCAACTTCAGGGCCCGTCACTTACGGAGCACACCGATGGCTGTCAGTTGAGCTGTCAAATCATGAAAATCCTACTACTCGGCACCGTGCGCATTTCACTCATGCTCCACCTTTAACATTTCGGCTCTCGGGCAACAAAACGTGGTTTTGGAACAACAAAATATTTATTTTGCAATATTGGCTAAAATTGGCCACCGTTCGGCGGTAAAGTACAGTCCGTTAGAATCGGCTTCGTTACGGGAATTCCGGTGTGCTAAAGTGTTGCGAATTCGATCACGTCCGGCCGCGCCAGGATCGATTCTAGTTTTTGCACCTCGTTTTCGATTCGACTCGTCTGTCCCGAAGAAGTGTATCGTGCAGTGTCTGGGCAGAGAGCAGAAGCACAGAGAACAGTCTTTTTCTTCTTACCTTCTCGCACTTTTTCCGACACTGCTCTGGCAGCCGCAGAAAACAAGAAAGGGAAGAAGAACAAGCCAACGGCAGCAGCAGCCAGCAAGAGTTCCCTTTGGAAGAGCCATCCACAAGGGGAAGAAAAATCGAAAGGCTCTTCCTGTTCGAAAGTGCGGTGCGGTGCTTTTTTTTTCGAATCGATGTGTGGTGATTAATTTGCTTGTTCTAATCGAAGGCATAGTCGAGTGAAGCGAAAATTCAAGGTTCTGAAAAGAATCAATCGAGAGAGTGAGTGTTTTGACCAATTTAAGCAAGAATTGTGGTCTCCTCTGATCCCTTGCAGTGTACGTTGTGTTTTGCCTCTCCGTGGAAGAAGGAAAACCAGGCAGCTTCTGGCCTATCGGGTAGCCAAAGTTATGTCATCGTGATTCTATTCATAGTGCGGTAGAAGGGTAAACTATAGTGTTTGTGCAAACAAGAGGTGCATTTCCTTCCAGTGCACAGTCCCAGACTGATATTACTCTCTTGTAAACATTGTGAAAACCGGCCAGTTCCACAACAAAGAGCAACGCAATGGCCAATTCCGGAACGGCAGTAAGGTGCCTCCTCCTCATCTGAGCAGTAAGCACGAGGAGTGAGCAAGATAGCGAGCCGTGCAGAACAGGCCAACATGGAGCGAAAAGATCGATAAAGTAGTCAACAACACCAGCGCGAGAGCACGCACGAGTCGTTCGTCCGACGTCGTCGCCGTCTGCATTACCGACACTCGATCTCTTTTCCTGCATCATCCAGCTTTGACAGTTGGTGTTTGTGAAAGAGAGAAAGGGAAGGAGCAAACGATTTTCTTTTTCTTTTCGGTTTTGTTTTCATTCCTCCGATCCGCAGAAGCTGCCAGGTGAGTGTTCCGCAAAATAAACAGTTATATGCTTCACCGACGGAGGGGTTGTGGGTGATTGATGAATGAAAGAGATTAGGCATAATTTTTTTTTTAAATTTGGAATTTAAATTATTAACGAATGTACATGTATATGCTATCCTTTCTTACCCAAAGCAAAATTAACATGTCGAGTACATTAAATTTTATTGTTAAATTGTTGTACCAGAGCAAAAATAAATTTAAATTTTTAATAATACAATGCTAAAACAATGAACATTAGTGTTCAAATTTGTTAAAAAAAATTAGTTTTTTTGCATTGTTAAGATGCCCCCTTTTCTACTGTAAATTTCTCAAATACTATGATTTTCATTGTTGTGAACCACAAATTTCGTTGTAATTTCATGGGAATCGACAAATGTGTCCAATTTTTGTACAGCAAATATCATGGTTACAATGACAATGTAAATCATTGTATTTTAGTTGGATTTTTTGACACGGGTAGTCATTTTAAGGAAAAACATTCCACTTTTATGGTTAAATTTTAGTTTGGAAATTAGATCAGATCTAAACCCTAGTTCGTAGAATGATCGAAACCAAGTTCAAAACAAAGAATTAATAAGTTTACCGGATTATAGTAGGGTAACCAGTTGATTTTTAGTGAAGTTCTGGAGTAAATAGTATGGAAAAGCGAGACAATGTAGATCTCGTAAACATTATTTCAGGCGAGATGAACACAGTCTGTCGTTCAAAATATTTGCGTTCAGTGGGGAGAGTTTGAAGGTGAACTCATGGAACTTTAGATTAATGAAACCTACAAGAATTTCAAATAGACGCCTGGATTTTAACTGAATGATAATTTGAGGTTTAGATCTTTTGTTTGTTGAATTTGCAATCTTGTCTCCAGGCTGTCGTATATCAACTTGTCAACAATATCTACATCCAATAACTCACTTATACTAAATTCTTATAGTAATGATGCAGCAAATGAGCAACTCAACCGTAAACTTATCGAAAAGAGCCCCAACGTTGGTCAGCTCTCTCAGTATTCAGTCATTCATTCCTCGTAGAAACTAAATAAATGAAGAGTCATCTTCTGAGATTATTTTCCAACTAATTCAATGTTATCGATTTCATTTGAAACCTGCAGTAAAGTCAAGTCATGATCAGTCTTGTAAGCGGTCACGGTAGTCGACACATTTTCTGTGATAATCGACTGCCTTTGCATACGACACTTGCAAACCAAAGTATCATAGTACAGTATCAAACAAAAATGTCATATGATAGGCTCTGTCATACGACACTGTCGCCGAAAACCGTCACGAATGTATGTATTTTAGTTTTTCTCATAAAAAAAGCTGCTGATGTTTTATTTGTGTGATCTCTGGAAATAGCAAGCAGTGATGTCCTAGTAATAAAATTTCTGATCATAAATGGTTTAATTTACACCAAATTGAGGAAATAGAACGAAATCACACATGTCATATGATAGTGATTTGATAATTTTCTTTTTGCTCGAATGTTATTCTACCGTTTGTGTTGGGTGAGAGATACGACGGTAGAGCATGAGAGTACGAATAAAAACAGACTGTCGCGCATGACAACGAAGCGAGTGTCGTAAAAAACGTCAACAGTTTCAACCCCTGGTCATGATTGCTTATTCCTTTTTTGTTTCTTTATTAAAGAGACTTTCAGTCTTTGGCCGGTTCGTCACTAAATGACTTATTCCTATCTCAACCATATTCTTTTGAAACATTTTCAAAAATTAAAGAATTTTACAATCCTTTAACATGAGCTCATGATTGTCATGAATTGAGAATGATATTTTTTTTCAAATCAATTTCGAAATGTTTCTATTTAACCTGCGCCTTATTATTCTTGAATTGATAATACACTAAACGTTTGCTAATTGAAAGACTTTTAACGACTTTGACTGAAAGTCTGTCCACAGAAACAAGATACAGTTAAATGACCTTTATCGGTCAAAATTACTTAATATTGAAATTTCAAGTAAAGCCAAATGCACACCGTTGCACTTTAAATGCATTTGACGCATGAAATGCATTTGCGAATGCCGTGAAGTAATCTTGTTTCAGCACCTACCGAACATTTAGTATAATCGTGAGTTTAAAATTAAAGCATCCTGAATAAAATTATTTAAGAAAAAAAGTTCTCTTCGATGGGGACAATGTATGTTGAGTGTTTCCATGCTTTGTAACAAACGGAACTTTTTATGAAATAAATATATATTGTGCAGCACCGATTAAAGAAATTGTTTTGGGTAAACATATTTTCAATCTTCAACTCATAAATACTTTAAAAATTCACGAATGAGCAACGGTAAAGAAAGGCAAATTTAACCTCCAAATTTTAATTCTAGTGCGACAATGGGATACGCTTATAGTAGTACTTGGGACCAATGTGCTAGTCAAGTAATGAGCCAATTTAAAATTGTTAGTATCAATACGTTGGTTATAATTCCAATGAAACACGAATGTAAACAATCTTTATTAGATTCATGGAGGCTCGAGCACTCCTGGCTCAGAGTTTTTGGCAGGATTCAACTGAACCAAAACCAAAAATTGCAACAGAATTCTGATAAATGTAGGGGCCTGTAGTGGATTATTACTAGTGGCTTGCAAAATGAGAGTTATCCCAGCTCCAAACTAGCTTGCAATCGACAACATGATTGAATTTGAGTGAATATTTTCCTATTTGAATCTACCGTAAAATTTCCAAAATTTGTTAGATAATTGTATAGGAAACAACCGCTTTGTTATTCATCATTTAACATGTTTATAACCCTTAACTCCAAAATGGTCCTCAGTCACAGCTGCTGGAGTGTTACTTTCACAGTCAGGCCTGATAAAACAGAATCAGGGTGGCGACTACCTGTTAAAACCTGGAAAATCAGGGAATTCCATTTTAGTCCTGAAATATCAGGGAATCTCAGAGAATTTCTTTAAACATCATGGAAATATTTATTAACCCTCTCTGAAAAGTATTACTGATCTCGCTTACATTTTAATTACTCAGTGTAGTTTGACGATGTTCGTAAACAAATCAAAACTACAATATAAGTGTGTGCTTGTGGGCGCTCAAATGAATTATTATAATTGCTTGAAGCGGTGAAAGTTGAACAGACAATTACTTAAACCAAGAGCATAGTCTTCTCCAGCTGTATTGTATAAAAAATGCAGATGTATTACTGTTAGAATGATCAAAATCTTATGAATTTACACGCTAGTGTTCGTCAGATTCTGCTTGGAGAACATACGTTTGGTGATTTTGGGCTTAGATGATCAATAAGTGGGATCCAGAGGATCGGTCAAAATCTATTTACATTTTTGAGTAGACCTATACAGTGTTAGTTGTGACAAAATGTATTCTCCAAGTGGATTAGCGTGTTTCTGGATGGCGTTGTATTTAGCTGGGGCCGACAAACCGACATGAAACTTAAACTTAACTTCTACTCGAAAATCTATAACGGCCATAAAAGAGCACATCAGCTATTGCGCACAAAACTTCCGGAACCCGTTTTCTCGTCACTTAAGGCACGCCTACGCAAACTAACAACATCTTTGGGTTGGAGGAAGTTTCCCCTGTCCGATGATGCTGGTAATTTTCGTTCGATTGGAGGAAAGAATAATCAACGTTTTGTTTAAAAAGTTAGTAGGCCTTTTCAATTGTTGGTCTACAATATTTTGAATTGGTTCCGCTTTTTGATAGGTCGAAATTCTATCCGCCAGACTATAAATATAGCCACTATAGTCCAGAATAGATCTGACATGAACCAACTCATTCATTTTGCACTCGTGTTCGTGGCTTAGATAAACGTTTTCCGCGATCACGGCAACAGATGTCAGTAGTGTGCTTTGATCAGAAATTTCATGATAATTTCTATGGTCGTTCATGTCGGTTATTAAACCTCTGAATGCAGCCCAGTGGCAGGCGCGTAGGCAACATGTTATACGGTGACAGCGGGCCCAGCACAGCAAAATGTCTGTCTGAATGGGTTGGAGAGTTAGGAGATGAAGGTTATATTTCTGAATACTTGTGACTGTTCAAATGTTGCAACCTGACTACGCTGTGCATGTCTACAGTGATTTACAGTCTAAAGTAAAATAAATTTTCTTGAACTGAGTGAAAAGTCATTACCAATGAGCATGCCAACCCTGCTTGTAGTTTTAGTTCCTCATTGTGTGTTTAAAAACCGGATTAGTTCAGACATTAAGCTGTCGAATAAAATCCTGCATGGATGGACGAATTTACAACTGCTTGAGGTAGCAGATTATGATTAAATATTGAACTCAGGGTCACATGGAACAAAATTTCTAATTTTCTGAAAGCACATTTCTGAAAATCAAATTTTAGTTTGATGGAAAAAATGGGGGACAATCCCAAGTATATATATTAGTCGTATGTAGCTTTATATACCCAAATTAGCGGCCTTATTGGTTACCTGGAATGTTCAATATGTGCTTGTCAACAATTTCCATTCTGCGATCTAGCGTTTGGTTAAACGTTTTATCCAGAAAAATCAACGGAGATGGGATGGGAATTAAAGTGTACACAGGGAATACATTTTATAACGGAATTAAAGACAAGTGTTTCATATGCGAAAAGTCCAGAAACAGTCAGAAAAACAACTAATAAGGGTGAGGAAATTGTCATGTCAAGGAGAAAAAAAGGAGTAAATTGTAGAAAGATGAACTTGTTGAAAACTTTTTGGCGATCATACTGTGATGAAAATGCGTGTTGTTGTGCTCGTTTTATCATAACTTAAAATTAAAATTAAAAGATAGATTGATATAAAAATGTTTGCGGGTTCATTCACATATCGTTATCAATCAATGTAACACCTCGGTTACTGCTTTAACTGATTACCCAGATAATGGACATGTGTTAAACTTGTGAATTAAGAAAATTGTGAATGGTTTTCTATACTCGCATTTTTGACATCTTATCCTTTTAGAATAAATCTCATCCTTTTAGAATTGCGACCGTCACGAAAAGGTGTAAGGTTTTGAACGCTTACAGCTTTATCAGTTATAGATGAAATTGAAATCCAAATACATCAATCGATAGGACATAACTCTCAAAATCTACTACAATAAATACCTTTCCAATTTTTCATAAAAACTGTTGTAAAATGTACAACAAAAAAGTGATAATTTTGTCACTGTTTTTATGAAATAAACGTGTTCCCTAACCCAGACGTCATAATCCAGTACCACTTGTTTCACATCGTTCTGCTTGAACCTGTAATGTTGTAGCTAACAGTAAAGTGATAAAGAGCACTGCTGTCGTGCCTCCGCTCATTTTCGTATCGGAACTACTATGAAACTATGAAAACTATCAAAACATTTAACAGGTAGGGAACCTGTATACGGACTTTTGCTCTGATGTTGAAAATGAATAACTGAATCCCTTAATTTTAATAAATGTTGTACTAAGCACCTACTTATTTGGAAACCAAACGTTTGATTTGAGAAAAGTTACTTCTACTTCTACTGTATTTTAAATCAATATCAATAAAAATGCACGAGAAGTTCACTTAACAGCTTAACGTTCTCTATGTCAACCATGCGGTCGTGTCTTGTACACAACCCCATCAATTTTTTTTTCTTTCTGAAAAACGACTGGAAAATCAGGGAATTTAGTTTTCTTCATTGAGTCGAAACCCTTATAAATGTAATGAATCTTCATTTTCAATCATACATAATATCAGATTCCCAGATATCAAACTAAATTTAGGGGTTTTAAATGATAGTGAGATGAACTTCTAAAGTTTGAAGTTTTTCATAGGAACACCATTTATAGTTTCAAGGATGAGGTAGCACCAAGGGGTAAGTCACTCAGCACAGTGTGTAGAAAGTAGACTCGGCATAGCTTAGGCATATCCATCGGCACAATGTCGTAGGTATTGGATTGTTTAAAGTAAAATAAAAGCACTGCTGGACAGCTGTCATTGAAGTTGTTAACAACATAATCATGTGCTGTTTGACTGTGTATTTCAGATACATACTCTAATTGAATATACTAGAGGACCTCACACCAGCAGTTCACTTCTCGGTTCATATTTAAAGTCGAAATGTAGGCTTCCGTGGGCTATCGATTGCTATCGATGCCGGTCACAAGTCTTTCAGCTACTACGCAAATTGAGTGTACTACGAACCGGAATGCAAGAGCAATTTGGATGGATTGGATCATGCAGTGGTGGCGGTTGGATACGGAAAACTCGAAGGAGAAGATTACTGGCTAATCAAGAACTCCTGGTCCAACTATTGGGGCAACGATGGATATGCTTTGATGGCGGTGAAGGGTAACAACTGTGGCCATACCACCGATGCGACGTATGTAAATTTGAAGTGAGATTTCGGTTTAGAGTAGAAGAGTAGTGTTATCTTATACGAGATGAAACAAATGGTTGTCGATTTTTGTAACAAAATAAAAGTTAATTAGGTTGAGTGGAAACAATATAAATTCCGTGTGATTGTGCCGTATTGGTCGTCTACCAAACCAAACTCATTTGAACAATACCGAACTAATAATCACGGCACAATCACACGGAATTTTGATTGCTTCAACTCAACCTAATTAACTTACAATTTTTAAACTGAATTTCACTTTTTGAAGTACTACGATCGAATTCTCCCGGAACTCCAACCCGATGGTAAAACCGAACGTCTTAGTTTGAGATCTTTCTTCTTGGCATAAACCATTCCGACGTTGAAAACCGCCGAGAGCTTCTTGCCCGGAATCATCACCTTCAGCAGTTCCTCTTCCAGATTGAGCAGAAAGGTGTAGTGCTTCTGAATCGTTTCCGTCGGATTGACCAGCAACGTTCGGACGACATTGGAGTAGTAGGACTTGTAACGCGTACCCAGATCACAGATGATAGATCCAAAGTGCAGATAGTTCTTGTCGCTGAATGCACTGAACTTCAAGCTGTAATTGCCACCCGACTGGATAATCGCCGGGTGGTAGCACATGTCCAACTAGTTGGTATCCACACCGGAGACGTACCTTTCTTATCAGCATCCATAAAATCCATGATGTGATCCTTGATGTACTTGTTGAATACGTCTACCGTCTGATGGTGATAAACTCGGAGTTCTCCTTGGAGGGCACGATGTACGCGATTGGGACGCTCTTGGATCCCATTTGCCATCTTTGGATCCCTTTATCGCCTCCAGCAGCTTTTCAAAAGGAATGCCCTCCTCACCGTCCTTCTCGATCTGCTTCAGGAAATCAACCTTCATTTTGCTGGTCAGGAAAAAGATTGACTATTCGCACAGCACCGTAATCGTATCGATCAGCTCGTATCCCAACAGCCAGGTTGATTTGCCGTAGATGGTTTCCTCGTCTACGCCGACCGCCGTCAGAATGCAATCCACCTTCTGCAGCGAATCATCATGGGAAAACTCTGGATCCTCCCTGCTGGCGTAGGGGAGTTTTATTCGTCGGTAGAAGAAATCCTTATCGAGCACTACATTCGACATTTTCGGGGCCTTTGCTATTGCAAACCTAAACATTCAAGCTGTCAGAAATACTAGGTTGCCAAATATACCATAGTATTCGTATTTTTTTAAAAGTCGCGGCTTGCTCTAAGCCTGGCACTGCCGGAACAATCGGCACACCAGCGGTACACTTGCGGCACCCTGAGAAAATGTTGTGCTTAGTGACCTACCCCTTGGGTAGCACTGAAATGTTATTTCTGGTCTAAATTATTGGGGGTAACATTCTTGCCCCATTATCTTCTCGATAAAAAAAAATCAAAAATTCTAGCTAAACCTTTCTAATAAAATATTGGATTGTTCTGGACACAAACGAAAAAAATTATTGTTTTTAAAAAAACAATTAGAGCTATGTCCCATGTATGGTAGACGTTTTCCAAAGGCCGGGGGATAAGCTGAGAAATTCTAAGAACTCCTTAGAAGAATTTCAAGAGCAATCCGATGGGAATTCCAACGAAATTCTGAGGAAATTCGAAATATGATTCCTAAACAGAGTTCCAAGCGAAATTCTTCATGAATACCAAAAGAACCGAATTTTTAGGGCACAATTCCAAAGAAATTCTGCGAAGAGTTTTAATGGTATTCCGAGGTTAATTTCAAGAACATCTAGCTAGGAATTTCTAGTGAATTCGAGTGAATTTTCAAGTGGCGTCGCGTAACCTCACTTTTTACCTGTGCACTAACTTTCAATAGCAGATTTAATGCCATATTCATGCTCGAATCGGTTGAAAAATACATTTAATCTTCTAGTTTACTCAATATCTATACATTGAAGGCAATATTTTGATAATTGTTTATGTTTTGTGAGTTGGTGCACAGGTAGATTGAGGTTAAGGAAACGCCGCTGGAATTTTCACAAGAAGTTAGAGGAGACCTTCAGATGGTTAGAGGAGATGATTGTGAGGTTCAAAATCGCATGAGAATTCTAGGAAGAATTCATGTTCATTTGTAATAGAATTATGTAGTTCGTGAATACTTGAAAGAGTTATAGAAAATCGAAGAGAATCTTAGAATGAATTCCATTAATTTGCAGAGAATTCTAGAACTCTGGAATTTCTGTACTGCTATAAAGACATTTTCTAAGGACTTCCAGTGAGAATCTTAAATTTATTTTAGAAGAATTCTGAAAAGAACTTGTTGATGGGAAAAGATTCTGAAGCAAATTATTGAGGACATTCCAATGAAATCCTGTGAAGACTTCTGAGCAAATTTTCAAGGTTCATAGACAAATTTTGAAGGTTTTGAACTCAGACACGAAAATTCACGATCCACGATTCTGCTGTCTTAGCAATGGCCCATTTATACTTCAATAGACCAACTTACTGGTGGCAGGGGATTTACATATGTTCCGAACAAAGAAAACAAAATGACCCATTGAACCAACCCAAGTAACAATTTTGGTTTTATGAGGGTTCTGTAGATCATGATTTAGACTAATAGAAAGCTATAAAACCTCGATAAAACCTGCAATGTTACTTGGGAAGTGAATGTAATGATTAATTCAGTGCTAACATTTGAAAACGGCGCAAAAGCCATTTGTAAACAAATGGTTTGTGGGCCCTTTACTCGCTACCCGAAGAACGCCCACGCAAACCAACAGCATCGTCAGGAAGGGGAAAATTTCCCCTACCCGATGTTGCTGTTGTGTCGCGTGGGTGTACTTCAAGTAGTGAGTAAAGGGCCCACAAACCATTTGTTTACAAATGGCTTTTGTGCCGTTTTCAAATGTTAGCACTGAATTTAAACTTATATCACACCACCGGAAACATTTCGAATATTCCGGGAAATTGATAATCGGGATTTACTAGTCACCAATATTGCTTCAATGATTAAATTGTACTATTAGACTTTTATAAATTCAAGACCAACAATTGAAAAGGCCTCAACTCCATTTTGTAAACAAACCTTGTAAGGCCATTTTCTCGCGAACCGAAGTCCGCCAAAGGAAACCAACCTAATGAACAGGTAGGGGAATTTCGCCTCTTCCCGATTGTGGTTTAGGTTTGCGAATGTAGGTTTCGGTTTGTTTAAAAAATGGAGTTGAGGCCATTTCAATTGTTGGTCTTGAATTATCCTTAACTTTGAGTCTGAATTGCTAGTAGGTTTCCGGGATCAACGTAACAGTAATGTGTCTTGTAAACCTTGTAACCGGAACGATTATTTACCCGATTTTTTGCGAACACTGACGTTTGAAAGGCAACAAGCAAACCCAATCTTGATACCCGAACCAGGTTGGAACTGAATCAAAAACAAATTCGCCATTAGTTGCCAGCTAAATTAATCCATATTACTGCGAAAAACTTCTATGATTCAAGGCCCATGCGCAATTGATCCGGTTTGGCTCCGACAACTGACAGTGTTAATCCATAGGCCATTCTTTTCGTTTATAATGTTTGCGATAAATTATTTACTGAACCATTTCTCTTTAATCGTCTCTTCCCAGATTTTCATCTGCTGCTGCAACTGCACAAGTGAAATCCCCAATAAGTGCGAAGGGACAGCAAACGGAATAGCCTCCGCGTGTGAGACTGCCCCTCCCTCTTCATCGCCCAAGCAAACACCACCCCCCTTCGCTTCCCAGGAGCTAGACCTCGCCGTCTAATCTGGGCTAGCATTAGAAGTGCGGCGCTTAGTGTGGATCTCGGTTCGGATAAGTGGGAAGGAGAAGAGAAGCAAAAGCAATAAACACGAACGAAGAAATACACAACAAACTATAACAATGGCTACACACGTTTCAACAGAAACTGGCGCTAGCAACACCAACAACAATAACAACAACAACAACAACAGTTCAAGTTCATCCTACGCGAATGTCCTGCTGAACATCAAGGATCAAAATCAGAAACAGCAACAACAACAGAAGCAGCAGAATGACAACAACAAGGAAAACATTCGCAGCGAAAAGCCTGCGGCGGGGCCAGCTCCTAGCAGCGGTGGTGCGAAAATACCCGATGTTCCTGCCGGTAAGGACAGCTCAGGAGCTTCGGGACCCACTGCTGCGGCTGCCGCTCCTGCCGGTGGTGAAGATGCTGAGGATGATTCCAGCTTTGTCCCGGTAGTTTCGCATAACAAACGGGATCGTCGTTCCAGGCAGAAGGCTGCTGCAGCAGCTGCTGCCAAAGGCGAAGAGCATCATGGAGGTGGTAAACCTCCTTCAAAATCGTCCCGCCGTTCCGGAAGAGGCGGTGGTGGCGCCGCCGGTGGTGGCGGAAGTGTTGCTGCTGGAGCTGGAGCAGTAGTAGCAGCTGGTCCAAAAGAGGCTGCTGAAGGTACCAGTGGTGGACCTCCGAAAAAAGATGGCAAAAAGAGAGCGGGAGAAAGGCGACGTGGTGGTCGCGGAGGACGCGGCGCAGAAGCCGAGAAGGAGGACAAAAATCCCGAAAAGGAATCCCTAGGTGAAACCAGCAACTCCAACAAGGTTAGCAGTGAGGAAGGATCTGACAAGGAAGTACCGAAAAAGTTTGTGGAAGCGCCTCTGCCGAAAGTGAACGCCTGGAAGGTAAGCTGATCGTTGTGGTGTTTTTATGTCTGCTTCATATTCTACTTCGGGGAGGTGAGCATGTGTTGAGCGGGTCAATTTTTTTTTTTCTTCGTTCCGCCTTTTGCGTTTTTGGACGTGTAAATAACACACATCTGTCTGGTAATAGTAAGCGATGAGCGGGATGCATGTGGGGGACAGTGACGAAAAGAGCGAGGAATACAAGCAAGAGGAAAAAGAACGGAGCTGACTGGTGATACGAAAGCACCGAATGGAACGAAAAACTGGCTCGAATGGAAACCACGTGGTTTCCAAATTTTTCAAATGATTACATTTACATACCTAGCCGTTTGAAGGTAATGCACGTTTGGTATCGAATCTCTAGTAGTGAGGTGGTTTAGTTCTGTTTCGATTTTACGGTCTAATCAGCCGATGTTTAGGCGATCGATGTGGCAGCTTGCAGTTGTGTTGTTTTCGAAATGGTTAATAGCTGTGACGTCTTACAGTTGTACCGACAACGATAACGACACTTTGTGCGTCGGGGTCGAGTGTGGTATAGCGTACACATTGTGAAGTTGTCTGGGTTCTTTTTGAATTTTGCGCGATAAGATGATTGTTTCGGTTAATTTTTATCTCTCCAACAGGAACTAAATCCATTGCTTTGTATTCGTTGCTAACCGGTGAGAATTTTCGTAGGGTCAGGTGGGGCAAAGCATGTCACGTATCACGGTTCTGTTCGTTACAGTCAGGTTTGCCTCTGGAAACTTTTCGTTACAGATCTAAAGGGTTAAATTGCGTTTTTTTTATTTCGAAAAATGGTTTGGATGTCACAACAGTGAATATTTCTAAATCATTTTTCGAACGTTGTATTTTAGGTGAAAGGTACGTACCGTGCCGATTCAAATTTCGGACACTTAAACTCGAATTTCGGACACTTTTAAAAGTTGATTATCTCGGTCGAATATGATCCACATGTCTTGTAAATTTTAAATTTTTTTGACTAGTGCCCTCCACGATCATCTAACATTATTACTTTGTTTCTAACTGGATGTAATATTTAATTAAAAATGAAAGTGCCCGAAATTTGAATCGTCCGAAATTTGAATCGTCCGAAATTTGAATCGTCCGAAATTTGAATCGTCCGAAATTTGAATCGGAACGGTATGTGCAGTTTTCAAAAATATTAGATTTTTGCCCCGGGTGGCGATCTTGCCCCGTCTACCTCTTCCTACCTACTTTTCCTTTTCATACATTATGTTAGTGCTTGGGCTGAAATCTCGCGTAACATTTGAAAAGGGCCTATGATCAAAATGTAAACAAACCGATTTTTGATACCATTCTGTAGCACTGGTAATTAGCTACCAGTCGTATAGGAATGTTCCGCATTATCGTTAAAAATCATTAAAAATAACTTGATTTTAAAAACGGCCGATCCACGAAATTTTTCCAATCATTCATGCTAAAACGGCCTAACCTCGGGCCTAACATATATTTTTTTTCGTTCGATGAGGTTCCATTCATAAGCCTAGCGACGTAGAAGGGCCGATGATTGAAAAATTTCAAATCAAAGCTAGGCCCTACTGCTTGAGGCAGGGCCGATGATTTATTTGACGTTAAGAAAAGGCTTAGCAAAGGGCCTACAATTTATGATGACAAGCACAACGGCTTAACAAAAAGGGCCTAACCATTTAAAGATTCACAAAAAGGCTTATTACTGTGATATTAAATTTTTATCGATTTTCATGTATTTTTGAAAACGTTTCGCAAGTTTTGGATGTTGTGTACTGAGATATAGTTACTATTGTTATTGTGAACAATATAAATGCCTAAAATACTTCAATTTATTTATATAGGAATTAAATACTGGCGGAAAAATTTACAATTCATTTTCTGGATTGTTTACATTTTGGACATAGGCCCTTTTCAAATGTTACGCGAGAAATGTTAATGAAAGGCAGCCCATAATTTGCACCAATAAAAACATTAAAATGCAGTTTAAAAAAATCAATAATTGACCCATAAAAAACTGGTGGGTCAACTTAACAATCCCCGTTGCTCATACGATTTCCCATATAAAATTTAAAATTCTCCCGCAAATCCCGATCATAACCAAATTCGTTCAAATTTGGCAATTGTTGGGGACCTCAATACACATCACAGAGCAGCGGGAAGCAGGGGACTGTGATCTGCCATACAGTGTTCTTGGTTCCACTCAAAATTGAGGATGGCTTCCATAGGCGTGTGCAGCCCTCTTCACGAGGGAGGGCAAGCCAACCAATTGGGGCGTCGCATATTCTAGACGGTATCGCTGAGTGCAGTGATGGGCGTCGTACATGTCGAGCAATATAGTGTTTATCAAAAGTGGCTGCTAAACTTGTTGATATCAAGGAAGAAATATCTGACCCCATGGAACTGCTAATCGTTTTTTTTATCCATTAATTTATTTTTAAGGCTCAAACGCGTTAGCTTTACGGAGCCGATTCTTACAGTTTTTCATAAATTTGAAATAAAAGTGTTTATAAAATTAGTTAATTTTTTCCTAGAAGCCGGTTGTTTGGTGTTCACTTTCTCACGCTTTCTTCCGTTTTCTGTGTTTCAATAGCAGTTTTCAATTTCTTCGCGATCAAGAACAATGGATGGCTTTCGGTCTCGAGCTGACTTCCTCTTGCTGCTTTTTGTTCTTCCATGTCCGGGGTCGTCTCATCGATTGCCATAACTTCTTCATCGAACACCTCAATAGCATCCGCTGAAGCATCGCCGGCTAAAACACCCGCATATGATGTACAGGTATCCACGCTGCTAACACTTTGGGCTTCATCCGGGTCACGTTTTTCCGTATCCGTCGTTTGTTGTTTTTCGAGCTTCCTGCGAGGTTTCCGCTTTGGGCAAGAATTCATCTAATGTTCCTCAATCTTGCAAACAAAGCACACATTCTTGTTCCCGGGATAGAACACGTTTCCTTTACGGTTGAGGAAATGCAGTGATGTAGGAATTTCCTTCTTAACATCCATATATACACCGCGGATGCCAGTGTATATATCAAAACCTAACTCGGGAGGAAATTTCTCCCTAACCACACGTTTTACATTGCCGTATTTCCCCAGCACCAATGCTAGGTTTTTGTCAGGCACTTCAGGAGGCAGATCGTACACTCTGACATACTGAATGTATTCATCCGCATTCAACATGTGTACCTCTACTGCCTTTCCATCGTCATAACGGGAAGTTAATTGTTCACTGTTATTCATCAATGTGTGACACATTGCCTCTTCGACCTTGAATTTAATAAACAAGGATTTCTCCTCTGCTACCCTGTATATAGATTCTATCTGCATAGGATCCGCATCCAGAGTCTTCGCGAAATTTATAATTTCGCCCATCGACGGTTTTCTAGCTCCATCGCCAAAGCTAAATTTGACGGTGTTTTTAACTTCAACTCCATTCATTCTTGATTCTATCCACAGGATTCCACACACGGCTAGCTAACTGCGGATAAACAATGTGCGCAACACACAATAGCTTGGTCGAAAAACAGACTGCCGATAGCACTATCGACACCGAGAACAAATGCTGCTGTGTCCGTCCACAGCTGAAAGCGAACTGTCTGCTAATCGTTAAATGCAGATGATCCTGAAAGCTTTAAAAAAACATCCAGAGGATTTTGCAGAGATGGTGAAGCACTTAGAGGATTTCACGGAGTTCTTTGATCACCCGAAGATCTTTAAAAATTACATGTAAGAAAGTTTGAACATACTGAGAGGTAAGCACAGATCATCGGTAAGAGACGTGTGTGTGTGAGAAAATTTGTTAAAAAATCTAAGGGCACCAGTGGGATTCGAACCCACAATACCCATTCAGTACACGGGTTGACTGCAAGTCGCTAAACCGTAAATCAAAAAGTAATTTATGATACTCACCACTACGGCCCGGCGGTCGGAGGTGAGGCCGGCAACTCAACTGTTGCATTTCATACTGACCTGGAAATACTTCAGCATGTAAGGATGCACAACTAAAGAAACTCAAATGTCATTAGCCAAATACATCCCTAGACCATATAGGTCCACCGTTGTATAATTGGCAATGCACCCGTGTACTACACGGGAATTGTGGGTTCGAATTCCACCGGTGCCCTTAGATTTTTTCGCAAATTTTCTCACACACACGTCTCTTACCGATGATCTGTGCTTACCTCTCAGTATGTTCAAACTTTCTTACAAACAATTAAATTTACTTACTTACTTTACCAATCAGGCTAAGGCCTTGTTGTCCTTTGCTGTCCGATGAAGTCGTCTCCACTCTACTCGATCCATGGCCACACTTCGCCAGCCTCGTAGTCTGCGAAGGGTCCGCAGGTCGCCTTCTACTTGGTCGATCCGCCTTGCCCGCTGCGCGCCTCTTCTTCGTGTTCCTGTTGGGTCGCTGTCTAGAACCATTTTCTTTGGGTCGTCGTGCGGCATTCTTACGACGTGCCCAGCCTACGGTGCAATGTGGACGATCGATGGTTCTCCCAGCAGCTGGTGCAATTCGTGGTTCATTCGCCTCCTCCACGTTCCGTCATCCATCTGCACTCCACCTTAGATGGTACGCAACACCTTCCGTCAACGGCGCCGGTGGTGTAGTGGTAAGCGTGATTACCTCTCACCCCAGAAGGCCTGCGTTCAATCCCAGTCGGCGCCGCTGGGATGTTCTGAGGCAGAACATCTCTGATCACGCCTGCCTTCGGATGGGAAGTAAAGCCGTTGGTCCCCGGTTCATGAGTTGATGGGTCGATAGGTAGGGTCCAGGTGTGGGAGCTGCCTTCCTGGCACGTCGGTAGCGCATTGGTGCTCAGCACGGAAAATAAGATCGACGGAAAAACAAACCAAAGGAAAAAAAAACACCTTCCGTTCGAAAACACCAAGGGCGCGTTGGTCATCCACGAGCATAGTCCAGGTCTCGTGGCCGTAGAGGACCACCGGTCCGAGACGGCTAATACATAGGTGCCACAGTCGGAAGAAGTGTTAGTTTGTTTACTTAAATGAACCATGCCCATTTTGTTATGGCATGTTTGCTATAAGAAATGCGCCTCGTGTTTATTAGCGAATTTCACATCAAAGATTGATTAATTGAGTAGGAAATCAGTTTGGCACGGCATTTGTGACCAGCATACACCTTCCGGTAGTATAAAACAGGTCAAAAACTGTTCAAATCCGCAGATAAAAATTTTTGTTTTGAATTTCTGTATAGCAAAATAGTGAACTTTTCGTGAACATTAACGGCAAAGAACTCACCAACACTGGGAGACTGTGAGTTTCTGCCCACCTGTCATAAAACCGTCTTGCCACCGGTCTAATTAGCGTCTTGTAGACAGTCAACTTCGTGCGGTGGTTATTCGACCGGAGCTTCCTCCGGAGTCTAAAGTAGGCACGATTCCCTGCCATAATGCGTCTTTGAATTTCTCTGCTGGTATCATTTTCGGCAGACACCAGTGAGCCCAAATACACGAACTCATAGAACCTCGATTTCGTCACCGTCCATCTGAACTCTTGGTGGGAGGCTAACATTGTCTTCCCTAGAACCTCTTCCTTTCATGTATTTTGTCTTTGATGCGTTGATGGCAAGTCCAATCCGCCTAGCTTCAGCCTTCAGTCTGATGTACGTTTCCTCCATCGTCTCAAAGTTCCGTGCCATGATGTCAATGTCATCGGCAAAGCCAAGAAGCTGGATGGACTTCCTGAACATCGTGCCACTCGTGTCTATCCCAGCTCTTCTGATCACACCTTCTAACGCGATGTTGAATAGCAGACACGAAAGTCCATCACCTTGCCGTAACCCCCTTCGAGATTCAAAGGGACTTGAGAGTGTCCCCGATACTCGAACAACGCACATCACTCGATCCATCGTCGCCTTGACCAAACGCGTCAGTTTATCCGGAAATCCGTACTCGTGCATAATCTGCCATAGCTGATCTCGATTGATTGTGTCGTATGCGGATTTGAAATCGATGAACAAATGATGTGCAGATTTCTGCAGAACTTGCCGAATCGTGAAAATTTGGTCCGTGCTAGCGCGGGCATCCATGAATCCCGCCTCGTATTGCCCCACGAACTCTCTTGCAAATGGTGAAAGGCGGCGGCATAAAATTTGGGGGAGTACCTTGTAGGCGGCGCTCAGTAGTGTGATCGCGCGGTAGTTGCAGCAATCCAACTTGTCGCCCTTTTTGTAGATTGGGCATACGACACCTTCCATCCACTCCTCCGGTAATATTTCCTCCTCCCAAATCTTGGCAATTACCCAGTGCAGCGCTCTAGTCAGTGCTTCACCACCGTATTTTAATAGCTCACTTGGTAGTTGATCTACACCAGTTGCTTTGTTGTTCTTCAGTCGACCGATCTCCCCCTCAACTTCTTGAAGATCTCGGGCCGGTAGCCTGTCGTCTTCTGCGCGTCCTCCAAGGTATGTTGCCGTGCCATCTTCGTTAAATTGACTGCAAGTCGCTAAACCGTAAATGAAAAATTACTCCCAGATATTCTCTCAAATGCCAAGTTGCTCAGAGATTATTCAAAAGTCATCCAGGTAATCATATATCTCCAAAAAATCCTAAAGATATTTGTTTTAGACTTCAGTTTGATCAGATATCATTCTGGAGATCTTCAACTGCCCATCAATTCAAATCACATCTCCCAGATATTCTCTCAAACAGCAGGTTGCTCAGAAATTATTTCAAATACCTCCAGGTGATCATAGATCTCCAAAAAATAATCAAAATATTTTTTCGAGACTTCAGTTTTGTCAGGTAGCATTCAGAAGTTCTTCAACTGCACAACAATTCAACCCAGATATCCTCTCTAGATACTAGGGTGCTCATAAATTATTCCAATCATATAATAGATCAGGATATTTGTTTTAGACTTCAGCTTGATCAGGTATCATACTGAAGATCTTGAACTGCCCAACAATTCAACTTACATCACCTAGGTATTTTGAAGGTACCATGTAGCTCAGAAATTATTCGACAAACCTCCAGGTGATTATAGATCTCAAAAAAAAAAAATCAGAACTCTTTCACGTAAGTTTTCATATCCCTTCTTAAGCATGCCTAAAAACTGCAGTGTCGTCCGCTGAACTTCTCTGCAGTTCATCAAACGTTCCAAAAGCTCTCCGAGCCCATCAGCTTATTCTTTTCAACGGTTCCCTGCGCTCCCTTGCCAGTGGTGGCGGAGGGGACACCCCTCACCATCCCTCTCCAAAAGGGGGAGTTTGGTAAAGAGAGATGAAAAAACCGATTGGTACCTTCCTTAAAAGTTGTCCTAGCTCGCTTCTCTAATATCTATATACAATCTTCACACTGCCGTACTCTAACGGAACTATCAACTCTATGCTTACATCTACTCCATCTATCGTATAAAAATTACCACTACAGTCTGTTATTTGAAATTAGCATCTAAACATATAGTCAAAGTTATTAATCTAGAAAATTTGAATGGGTTTCTATAGCGTAGTAGGGAAGGCGTTCTTTTGCTCGCAAAATGGTGGATTTTCATATGTATTCAATGGATAAAAGGTATGTTTCATTAATACAACAGATGTCGCTAGTGCAAAAAAATTACGGCGATTTATTTCATATGCCGAATACCGGAAAACGTTGATTTTAACGAAATATCGACTTTCTCTGAAAAAAAAAACATTTGGTATAGGTGCTGGGTAAATGTTCAAATCTCTATCACATTGGATCTATCTATTCCTTTCCTCTCGAAATATAGTTGACTTCTTCCGTTTCTGTTATTTCACGTCATTCTTATTCAAAAACAATAATTGGTCATAGTGTTTTTTCTCTGATGTAAGGGGCTTGGTTGTCTAGTCTAACCATTTTTGCTTATTGAGCAGAAAATCATGGATTCAGTCCCAGGCTTCTTTACAGTAAAGAGTCGATAGGATCGGTTCATTTTCTCATCCCAAGTAACATTGCAAGTTTTATCAAAGTTTTAGGCGTTCTACAAGTCCAATTCATGGTCTACAGAACCCTCATGAAACCAAAATTGTTACTTGGGATAGCTCCGGATTCGTGTACTTATCAAACTGCCATTATATCAAAACAATGATCACATCACTTATCAAGGTGAATCCTGATCGAACGAACCCCATCCTACTAACAAAACCTCCCTCCTGGGACCTTTGTGGAGACGCAGAGGTAAACACGGCCCCCCTAACAACAGAGGTCACTCTAACTTTCCTTTCCATCTCCCACCTGATTGGAAGGACTTGTAAACTTGTGGGATTTTTAGATAAGCTAAGCGGAACATCAGAGCTGACCAGGGTTCTCTCAAGGTGGTATTCGACATCAATTAACTTATGAAAATTTCCTGATTTTCAAAGGAGATCAGGGAACCTAAGAGAAAGGTAATCTTAAAACAAAGAAACAGAAATCGTCAAAGAAATTTCCTTTCACTTTGTTCAGAGAACTTCAGAACAGAGCTTCAAAGAGCAATTTTTGAAGCATAGGATACATTTAGTGAACCTCAGACCACATTAAGGAACCTCCCACAATTTCAGAAAAAAATCGTTCTATACCAAATCAATGTAAATCATTTTCTTCACCCGCATTCTTCCAGGTAACTCCAACGGTTGAACCAGCGCCAATCCCATCCGGTGACACGAAACCCGCAAAATCCTCCGCTGAAACCAGCTCAGCGGCGGGAGCAGTAGCTTCGACTTCTGCTGCTCCTGCTACTGTTGCTGCTGCTGCTACTACCACCACAACTACAACTACAACTGCTTCTGCCACTGCTGCTAGTACTGCACCATCCCGTAAAGCACCCCCCGCCCAGCCCCAGGAAAAGCGAGTCCTACAACCGAAACAACAGTCCAAGGCCCCACCACAACGTAAGCTTTGCTGCCGATCGTCTTTCTCCACGGGAAGGAAATTTAATAGAAACCCTTTTCTGTTTTCAGCCAAACCTAGTGCTCAACCGAAAACGGCTGCTCCCGAACAACCGAAACCAGTCCCTCCCGTAAAAGAAAAGAAGCGACCTAGTCAAAAAGTATGTCTGTTTAGTTATTCCCATTCTTCGAAACATTAACGATTCCCCCTTACGTTCCAGTCAAGTGATCTAACGAGCAGTACCGATTGGCCAACACTAGACGGACCATCCAAAACCAGCGAATCGAAGAAACCAGCAACAGTTCCGACGACTGACTCATCTCCAGCACCGGCCACGAGCCATACAGTGGAACAGGAAAAGCCAACAACCAGTGCATCCAGTGAAGAGCAACAAGCATCTGCTACTGTAACCAAAACACCCCCAGTCACAGCTTCCGCGGCGCCAAAACCTCAAACGTCGTCGCAGGCAATCCCAGCGGAAACAATCACATCCCAAACTCAGCAACAAGTTCCTGCCAAACCGCTCTCCACTGAGGAAGATCATGGTCGACCAAAGAGTGCAGATTCCGGCGACCAAAACGGTGCCAATGGTGCTAACAATCGCAAGGGGCCCCGACCAAAGTGGGTCCCACTGCCAATCGATCTGCCGAAACCGCGGGCTCGTCGTGAACGAACTCCTCGACGCCGTCGCTACGATGACTATGACGATGGAAACTGGCATCAGGAACGGACTCCTCTACCACGGTCGAGCAGGATTCGAACCAGTCGAGGTGGCGGACCACCTCCGGTGTACCGAGGAGGTCGCGGTGGTCGGATTTCCCGTGGAGGACCAATTCGACGGGGACCCCCATCGGTTCGAGGAGGTCACATTCCCGGCGGACCCCGACATGGTGATCGAGGAGCACCACATGCCGGGCAGCCACTGACCAATGGAGGTGATTTCGTGCAGGAATTCAATGGCGTGGGACAAGCGATCGGAAAGGAACAGACCGCGTTCATGATGCCTTATCTCAGCACGTTCTACTACAACGGAGCACCGCTCATCGGAATGGACCAGCTCAGCATCAAGGAGTGTATCAAGAAGCAGATGTATGTTTGTTGCGGTTAATGTTGATTTCTTGCAATGAAATATATCTTCTTCTTTCTTTCTTTTTTTGCAGCGAATACTATTTCAGTGAAGAAAATTTGAATCGTGATTTTTACCTCCGGCGCAAGATGGACCCAGAAGGTTTCCTCCCAGTGACATTGATCGCATCGTTCCACCGTGTCCAAGCATTGACGGCAGACCTGAACATCATCATCATCGCAATCCAAGAGTCTGATAAGCTGGACTTGGTCGACGAATACAAGGTTCGTACGAAAACCGACCCGACAAAGTGGCCAATCGATCCAGCGGACACGGGAACCAACCACTATCAGTCCAATTTGCCGTCGGGCCCGAATCCTGTCGAGCCCCCGGCTGAACCGACATCGGCGGTTCCGGTAGCTTCCAAGATCCTGTCAAGTATTCCACCCCCGCCTATGCCACGTAATTTTCGAACTCAAAGTGCAAAACAGCAGCCACAACAACAACCCGCCATCATCAAGGTTCCTTCGGTAGTCCCTGCAGTGCCAGTGGTGCCCCCAGTGACTACCAAAACACCAACAACTTCCGAGTCGGAAAACTTAAACCCCAACGTGCCAGAATTCATCCCAGCCTTAGCTCTGAGGAAGCAATCTGCTGGCACTGTCACAACTCAACCAACCGCCCCCGCAGCTACTCCCGCTGGAACCCCCGCGCAACCGGCCACAACTCAAAGCACGGACAAAAAAGAAAACATTGCTCAGGACGCACAGGATCCAAAAAACGCCGAAAGGAAATCTAACTCTAATGCTACTACAGGTGACAAAGACGCCACGTCCGCAGTCACCGAAGAAGCCGAACTGTGGAAAGAAGTAAAACGACGCTCACGCTCTGCCCAACGCCATCAAAACATTCAAGACGGACAAGCTCCGAAGCAGGACCAAAAACAGGACTCCGGAAGCAAACCGAAGGACCAACCAGAAGCGGGCACACTTCCACAAGATTCGACGACAGCAACCACACCAGCAGCCTCAGGAAAACCAACATCCGCTGCGACACGGTCATCCAAACAGGGTGAAGAACGGGAGGAGTTAGATTTCCAATTCGACGAAGAACTTGACATCCCACGAGGGGTTGGCCGTGTTAATCATTTCTCTGACAACTGGTCCGACGATGAGGATAGCGACTATGAACTGTCGGATCACGAAATCAATAAGCTTCTTATTGTTACACAGGTAGAAGCTGCGCACGGAAATTGACCAACCAACAAATTAACTAATTTTTGCGATTGTTTTCAGGTACCCAATAAGGCACCAAAGCACGAAGGATATGATCGAACGGGTGATTTCACGACGCGTGCCAAAATCACCCAGGATCTGGAGCAGATAATCAACGACGGATTGCATAACTATGAGGAAGATCTGTTGATGATAAATCAACCCCGAGGTGGAAGCTACCGAGCTGTGAATTTGATATCCCAGGAGGAATTTGACAAAATCATCCCCAAACCGGCGAAGGTAGTTCAGGAAGCACCACCCCCGCCGCCACCACCGACTTTTATTGAGACGTCGGATATTTTGAATGAAAGCACAATGAGCGCTGCCCATCGGCACAAGGCACGGTTCTTCGCCGTCAACAAGGATGAATTTGTCGATCCAATCACTCCACGAAAGCGCAAGACGAGGCATTTGAACAATCCACCGGTCGAAAGTCATGTCGGCTGGGTGATGGACTCCGTAGAGCATCGACCACGTACCATCAGTATGGGCAGCTCGACGGGAACATCGCCGACGGCTTCCAGCTACGGATCTTTGCCCCATAGCTTGCCAACGTTCCAACATCCGTCGCATTCGTTGCTGAAAGAGAATGGCTTCACCCAGCAGGTCTATCACAAGTACCACAGCCGCTGTCTGAAGGAACGCAAACGCATGGGACCCGGTCAATCGCAGGAAATGAACACCCTATTCCGATTCTGGTCCTTCTTCCTGCGAGAGAACTTCAACAAAACCATGTACAACGAGTTCCGCCAGATAGCTAACGAGGATGCTGCCGAAGGATTCCGCTACGGGTTGGAGTGTCTGTTCCGATTCTATTCGTACGGTTTGGAGAAGAAATTCCGCCCAATGCTGTACGAAGACTTTCAACAGGAAACGGTCAAGGATTACGAGAATGGTAAGGGTGACGGGCGTTTTTTTTTTCTTTTCGAAATATGATGGTTTATCGTTTTTTTTTGCGCTCAACTAGGTCAACTCTACGGTTTGGAGAAATTCTGGGCCTTCCTTAAGTACTACAAAAATGCTTCCAAGATGTCGGTCGATCCAAAGCTGAAGGAATATCTGGACAAGTTCAAGTCGATCGAAGATTTCCGCGTGCTGGAGCCACAGATCAACGAAATGCTGGAAGGCGTGGGTAAACTGAAAACTTCGCCTTCGAAGCGAAGACCGCGAAGTGTATCGGAAAGCGAAGGTTTTACGGTTGTGGCCGGTCCGAGCCACGCCAAACGTGCCCATCATGGGGGCTCCAGTGGCGGTGCGGGTTCTTACTCCGGCGGACATTCCGGCGGTGGCTACAATCAGTACCAGTACAGTCGAAAGAGGTAAGTTTTGTTTGCACCGGTCCCCCTGTTTGTGGGTACCTACAGGAGAGGACATGCATGCAAGGTCCATTAGTTACATAATCTATCTAGAACAGCAGCACTTGTGGTCATTGCGACGGAATCTTAGACCATGGGATGGACACTAGGTGCATAATTATGCTGGTAAACAGTATATGGGAGAAGTGGGGTGAGATGGCCGTACATTTTCCACTCTATATTATGAAATGAGTTTAAAATTATTTAACTGACAGAACTCTGCAGGTAAATTATCAAAATTCCAAATCTGAACGACCACCTGTTAGAGCAGGTCTCAATCGAAACGTTCTTCCGCGGGTTGCCTTTTTTTCATCATCTTCCTGGACAATCTACGCATCTTATTCGTGAAGAAATAGCAAGTGATTGAAAGTGCCGGCAAGAATATGGAATCCCAAAACGGACTTTTCTGCAACATCATATTACCCCAATTTCATGCTCCATGTTTGTCAAGTAATGGATTATACTTCCAGGGCTGTTACAACAGGCGCGGATTTCGCGATTTTCGCGGATTTGTCGCGGATTTGAACTTTCAGTCGCGAAAATCGCGGAAACATTAAATGATGTCGCGAAAATCGCGAAGGGACTGATGTGCTGTCACAAAAATTGTGGAATTCATTGTAACCTTTCCGTCCCGGATTATTTAGCTGTCATCAATTTTGTTGTTCATTTGGCTCTCAATTTTTTACCGGTTCTAACCAAACACCCTGCAAATAATCGAGAAATAATCTCAATCCCATAAGTCACACCGGATTTACACGGAAATTCCGTGAGGTCTGTCCAATGAGAGACATTTTCATGTTTTATTTATTTCCAATATGAACATAGCATTTTTCGATGTCAAATCATAAACAAATCGTATATATGCGGGTAATTACCATGTATACCGGATATTATAGGTTCTCCAAATCGTCCTGGAGTTCAGTTGGTTTGTTCAACTATATCAACCAAGACTGCAATAATGTCTGTAGTATCGAAATATGTCCAAACAGATTCAAAGTGTCTATGTGGATTGTGTCCGACCTATTGCTACGTATACAAGATGTTATAGGTTCTGAAATCATTCTGGAGATCAGATTATGTTTCTACTAAATCACCCATGCCTAATTCAATATCTGTAGTATCGAAATATGTCCAAATAAATTTGCAGTGTCTATGTGGATCATGCCAACCTATATTCGTGTATGCCAAATATTTCCTAAGGATTTCCATATCGATATTTCGATACTACAGATCATAGATCATCTGGTATAAGTGGAAATAATTAAACATTATCCATATAGCCACTACGAATATGTTTGGACATAATTCGATACTACAGACTGTATCCCAGTCATGGTTGATCTAGTAGAATAAATCATCTGAACTCCAGAACGATTTGGAGAACTTAAAACATCTTTTGTACATGGCAATAGTTCATGCATGATTCACATAGACACTGTGCATCTGTTTGGAAATATTTATATATTAAAGACGTTGTTTCAATCTCGGTTGATCTAGTAGATCAAATTATCTGAACTCCAGGACGATTTGAAGAATTTACATCTGGATTACTCGGAAATAGATGATACATGATCCACATAGACACTTTGAAACTGATTGGACATTTTTCGATACTACAGACATTATTGCAGTTTTGGTTGATCTAGTAGAAAAAATCAAATTTGTAAAACCTATAATTTCCAGTACACATAGTAATAAGTCGTGCATGATCCACAAAGTCACATATACATATATGATTCGGTTATGATTTGCCAACGAAAATACAATGTCTCATCATTGGACAGACCCCAAGGAATATCTGTGTAAATACAGAACCGCGACGTGACCAACAAGTGTGACTTATGAAACTCTGGTAATTTCTCGATTATGTGCAGGGTGTATGGTTTGAAACGGTCAAAAATTGAGAAAACTAGCGCCAAATTAACTACAACATTTAGGGCAGCAAAATACGTCAGAGACGCAAAGGTTAACTTTCAAGAATTTTTTTTTTAAATAATGCTTCATCAAATCTAGACCTGTATTATTCAATAGAAACATTCATAAACTAGGGGGCGACCACGCCAAAGTCACGAGTTCAAATCTCACCCCCGGACAAGTCACGAATGACTCAAGAGTGTTAAAGTGACCATAATAATAATAATAAAAAAAATCATAAATAACTGATTTTTTTTTTCAAAGGATACAAACGATACTCCTTTAGCTCAGTCGGTAAAAACGCAGCTACAAAGCGAGGCGATGCTGGAGGCGACTGAGTTCGACTCCCGTTCGGTCTATTAATTTTTCGGGTTGGCAAATTTCTCTACTTCCTTGGGCATAGAAAGCTCTCAAATCAATGTGAAGGTACTTCAAAGAACACTAAGTTCAGAGCAGGCAAAATCTAATATGCTATATGCAATAAGCTTGAAATGTCATGTAGTAGTATACAAATGGTATTTTTAGGCAATGAAAACAGTTTTTTTTTGTCGCGGATTAGTATTTGAAGTCGCGGATTTCTTTTGAGAAATCGCGGATTTCGCGGATCAAATTTTGAAAATATTGTAACAGCCCTGTACTTCTTTTTATGCTGCTCTTCTCGATGAACTTCTCGTCGGAAGTACTGTGTAGGAATTTCACAGAATTTATCGTCGGAAGTTCTTTGCAATTCTCCTTGGAAGTTCTCTGAACTTCTCGTCGAAAGTTTTGTGAAGTTCACACGAAAGTGTTCTTAGAACTTCTCGGATGTTCGCTGAATTTCTCCTCGGGTAAATCCCAGGTCCTATCACATTAAGGATACTTATAGTTACATCGCTTGATTATCGTGGGTTTTGCCGAACTTAACATCGTCATCGTCATCAACGTCACCGTCGGGGCCTGTTTTGAATGGTTGCAATACAACGCGATCGTAGCTTTTATGATGTGATATGAGAGGCTTGGTGGCCTCAGAGCGACCATTTTTGCTTACTGAGTAGAACATCATGAGTTAAATCTCATCATTCAAGATTCGTTAATTGCTTTATTTGTTAGTTTCAGTGGCGTTGCCTTAACCTCAATCTACCTGTGCGCCAACTCTCAAAACATAAACAATTATCAAAATATTGCTTGCCATGGATGGATATCGAATAAATTAGAAGATTAAGTGTATTTTTCAACCGATTCGAGTATGAATAAGGTATAAAATCTGGTTTTGAAAGTTGGGGCACAGGTGAAAAGTGAGGTTACGGGACGCCAATGGTTATTTTGAATACATTGGAACAAGGTTGCAAAGACTCATTTCAGCTAAAATAATGTTTTTCGGAATAATAAAACCAAAAGATGGTATGCAATCAAGCTCAAGCTCAAGCAAGCAATAATAAAACCAAAAGATGGTATGATGGCATGTTTTACTTGTAACTTACAAGAAGAGGTTACAAAGTATGCGTTGGAAACATAAAACCTGTAAATTTTGCTTTCTATGAGTCACAATCAGCGATTTGCTGATCGCTGAGTGAGTGAGTGAGTGAGTGAAAAATCGCTGATTGTGACTCTCATGAAGTGAAATAAACAGGTTTAATATGTCAAACACATTCTTTGCAACCTCTTCCTGTATCCTACCAATTCAAAATTTGATCATGGCATCTAATTATTTCATAATTTAGAAAAACATTGTTTTAGCTGAAATGAGTCTTTGCAACCTTGCATTGGAATAAAAAAACATTGGTGGGTTTGTGTACAATACACGACCGCATGGTTGACGTAGACTACGTTGAGATGTTTAGTGAACTTCTCGTGTATTTTTCTTAATATAAATTTAAAATAATACAGTAGAAGTAACTTATTTCTTCAATTTACTCCATTTACTTGACATTCAATTTCCTCACCCTTGTTAGTTATTTTTCTGACTGTTTCTGGACTTTCCGTTAAGGATATTTCCGCATATGATACACTTTTCTTTAATCCTCCCTTATAAGTGTCCGGGGCCAAGATGGTATAGTGGCCCTCTTGCAGGTCTTCATTCAGAATGGCGCCGTTTTGATTGCTCCGACCATTGCCCGAAGCTTGGTTTTTTGCGTTCAGGTCGCCAGCGATGATGAAGTTCCCGCACCTCCGGGTGAGTTTTATGATGTCTTCCCGGAGGGCCACTGACGACCCGTCCCTGTGCCTGTTGTTGGTTTGCTTGAGGAAGTAGGCCGCGATAATGGTAATTGAGCCAAGTGATGTGCTCATCTTCACTTCGATGGCTTTGATTGTTTTCAGCTGGAAGTTTGGTAGCAGCCGACAACTGATGTTCCGTTTTGCAGCGATGGCCACTCCCCCACCCCCGGAGCAGGTGCGGTCACGTCTGACGAGCCGGAAGTCGGGAAGGAATACGTTCAGTTCTGGCTTCAAGTGCGTCTCGGTGATGATATCAATGTCGATCTTCTTAGTGTTGAGGTAATCGAGTTGCTCTCTATGCTTGTTTGTCAGCGAGCAAGCGTTCCAATTTGCTATTTTTACAGCTTCACGGTCCATACTTGGTGACGAGAGATAAGGCAGCATGAAGCTGTTCAGATCGAGTCTTGCAGGTGCGCAGGCATACGATAGTCCAGGCGCCGAGGCAGAAACTTGATTTCGATGCCGGCCTTTTTTTTATACAGGGGGGAATCTGCTCACAGACACCTGAGAATGAACTCAGGGTGTGGGGATGGGAGAATTGCACTCCCGACCCACTAAACCTTAACCTGTGCGCTTGGCCCTTGACCTCCCCGGAACCGCCCGAAGGCATGGCGCTTCTCTAGCAATACTCTATCGATCTAGTCGGGCAGTAGGCAACTGCTGCTCGGCACGCCACTGTCGTTGTAATTCCGAAACTATGTGGGTGACCGCAGTCACCACCGCGCTCCAGTTCTCGGTGGTACCACACGTCCTAGGGACGATGTTATTCGGACTGGTATCCGCTCCGCATATCGCTAGCATGGCGCTCGATACTGGCTCGAAGCGTGGACAGGCGAACACAACGTGCAAGTAAC